TCCAGCCCCGCGTGTCAGGATACATGCATCATATCAAGTTACTGGCCCTAGGTTTGATCTCCTGCACTTCATACTTCTTGGGCACCGTATGGTCCCAAAGCATTGGGCTCCTCACCACCATCAGGCTGGACTCCCCCAGAACTCCGTTTCCCCCCTCCCACCCCCTACTTCCTCCATTGCCAAAATCATTATCAGAACAACCAGCTGTTGAAGGGCATTGGGGGTCTGCTATCATCAGCTCAGCCCTGTAAACCATGGTAGACCATGTCCAGAGCTCTCTCTCTCTCTCTCTCGAACCCCTGAGTGACAGCCATCAGGGTTCTCTCTGTGCACCCCCCTTCTTCTGGCCGGCATGCACGCAGAGTCCTGTGTTTGCCGCTGCAAAGGGACAGAATGTCGAAAAGCTCCTTTAGGGAACCGCAAGACTTAGAAATGCATCAGCCTTAGTGGCAGAGTGAGGCTGAGCCCGCTGTTTTATTTAGACAGGGCAGCGGAAGCAGAAATGCCCTCCTGTGGCCCTTCTCGGCCGCTGACAGGTTTGAAATGCATTGAGGATGCAGGCACACTAAATGTGTAAGACCGCCTGTGGCTTGGTTTTTCCTAAAGCAGTGGTCAGACTTTCTGTCTTTCTCTCAGTTTTCTGGGGCTGGGTTTTTTCTTTTTTACTTGCCTGTTGTTTAACCAAACAGAATTTTGGGCATTTTTTTTGAGGGGGGTGCTTTTCTTGGGGGTGGGTGGGAGGTCACACCTGGCGATGCTCAGGGGTTGCTCTTGGCTCTGCACTCAGGAATTATTCCTGGCGGTGCTCAGGGGACCATATGGGATGCCGGGAATTAGAACTCAGGTTGGCTGTGTGTAAGGCAAATGCCCTACCCACTGTACTATCGCTCTGGCCCTACTGGAAGATCTTAAAACTATTTATCATCTTTCTTCTTACATCACTTTATTTACTTATTTCTTTATTAGGCGTTATTTGGCGTCTTTAAGAAGAAAATGCCAAGGGCAATATTTTACAGTGCCTATTTAAGAAACATCATCACATTGATATACATAGTTAAACCACAAAGCACGAATCTTTCTGCATTCACTAAGCAGAAATCTGTTATTCCTACCAGTCGAAAAAGAAAAATTATTTTGAAAAGGATCCAAGGGGCTCGAGTGATAGTACAGAGGGAAGGGCATTTGCCTTGCATGTGACTGACCAGGGTTTGTTTGATCCCCAGCATCCCATATGGTCCCCTGAGGACCACCAGAAGTTAATTCCTGAGTGCAGAGCCAGGAGTAACCCCTGAGCATTGCTGGATGTAACCCAACAAGCAAAAAAAAAAAAAAAAAAAAAAAAAAAAAAAAACCACCCAAACAAACAAAAGAATTGAAAGGATCCGATTAAAGTGAACAGATATGAGCATTACTCCTTGACTAGAGTCTTGGGAACTACTTACTCATGTAACAATTAAATTGGTGCGGTGTAGCTTCGGATGCACAAAGGGGATGGTCGTGACCCATCGGCTTTCCTTGTGGAGAGTGGGCTTTCGAACAGGAAGCAAAGTCGCCATGCGTCCTCCTGCCCTTCCGTTTCTCCTGCTGTTTTTGTCCTACTTGCTCTCCTCACTCTGCATTCTGTCTCTTTATGCAAGGTTAACACTGCTTTCTCTGGTGGTTTCCTCGGGAGGCTGTAAAACTCACCATCTCTCGACACAAGCAGTTATTTTTTTTCTTTTTCTTTTCAATAAGTGATTTTTATTATTTCTAAAAATCCCTTTTTATATATTGGTTCACTGTAAGACACACAGTTACAAAGCTGTTCACGATCAGGATGCAGTCATACAGTGCCCCAACAACCATCCCTCCCTGAGTATCCATTTCCCACCACCTATGTCCCCTGTTTCTCTCCCTCCATGATGGTGTCTGTCGCAGACACTTTTCTCTTCCCTGTACCCCCCCCCCCCCTCCTTTTAGGCATGATGGTTTGCAGTACAGAAACTGAGAGGTTATCGTGTCACAAGCAGTTATCTGGAATGAACCCCAGCGTGCCCTGAGTCTGTGCAGACAAAGTGTTTGTGGGGGCTGGAATGATAGGACAGTGAGTAGGGCATTTGCCTTACATGTGGGCGACCCGGGTTCGATTCCTGGCAGCCCATATGGTCCCCCAAGCACTGCCAGGAGTAATTCCTGAGTGCAAAGCCAGCAGTAACCCTTGTGCATCGCTGGGTGTGACCCAAAAAGAAAAGAAAAAAAAATAGAAAGTGTTTGTGGTCTTAGGTGCTGTTTCTGGGGTGGGATCCCAAACCGATGTGCTTCAGAAGCCGTCACATCCACGACACGGCCTGGGCTCAGCTCTCAGTTGCCAGTGGGACAAGCCTGTGGTCCTGTTCAGAGAATTTTGTTTGCAAACCAGCACTCAAAGGAGTCAGAAAACAAAATTGGAGCATGTGTGGGGGAAAAAGAAAACCAAGTGTTTGATGCCTAAAAGATTGATGTGGGCAGCTGTCTTGGGACTGTGGTGGCTGAAGAGAACCATTTGTCAGGTGGGCCCACTTCTGTTTGTTTATTTATTTTGGCATTTTGGGTCACACCAGGTGATGCTCAGGAGTTACTCTTGACTCTGCATTCAGGCATTCAGGAGTTACTCCTGGTGGTGCTCGGACAACCATATGGGATGCCGAGAATTGAACCGAGGTTGGCTGTATGCAAGACATAACGCCCTCCCCGCGGTACGACCACTCTGGCCCCAGGTGGGCCCACCTCTGAGATTTTCTGCAACTTCCCTGGATTTCAGGAACTATCTGGACTTGCTCAGGGCCTCTTGGTGGGCTGAGCTTCTAAGTACTTAGTAATGACACTCGATTACACAGTGATTGTCTTCCAAAACATCTCCGCCTTCACCGTTCTCGGGGGCACAGCAAGCACACTTTGATGTTGGTGCCCTTTTGCAGGTGTTCGTCCTTGTTGTCTTTTTTATTTGTTCTTTGATTTTTGGGTCACACCTGGCAGTGCTCAAGGGTTACTCCTAACTCTGCACTCAGGAATTACTTCCTGGTGGTGATCAGGAGACCCTATGGGTTGCCAGGGACCAAATGCAGGTCGGCCGCATTCAGGGCAAATGCCCTCCCCGCTGTAGTATATAGCTCTGGCTCAGTCCTCCTTGTCTCTGTGGTCCTCTTTGACGTAGCCATCCTTAGCAATGGCTGCAGTTCTGGGTATTCTCCCCGTGTGTTCTAGACTGTCTTGTTAATACTGCCTCAATCAACCTCCTCAGACCTGAATGGATCATTGCTGCTCAAATATGGCCAAGGACCTTTGGATTTGGGTCACAGTGGCTCACTAGAAGCCTGACTGTAGTGTCTTGTAGCATTTTCCTTGGCTAGCAATGCCCTTTGGCCTCATTCTCTTCTTGGACCTGATTTTTTTTTGCTTTACAGCAACTAGACACAGCTATCTTACGAGACACTCAGCTGATTTACGAGACACTCAGGTGTTTTTAGTTCCTGCTAACAGCAAACTGCCTAAGTTCTGGCTTGTAGAGGTCAGACATTGATTTGCCCCTGTTCTTCCAAGCTCGGGTGCCAACGGAGTTGGTTCTCAGTGACAGCAACTCCCCCACTTCATCACGGGCTGTTTCCTTGCAGTGTGCTGTGTGGTGAAGGGGGTTGGGTAGCTGCTCTGTGACCTCTTTTTTTTTAGAAGGTCGCTGATGGACTTTATGAAGGCTCCACTTTCATGACCTAATTACCTCCCTAACCCCACTTCCTAGTATATGACACTGGAAGTTAAGATTTCCATGCTTGAATTTGGGGGTGTGGGGTGAAGTAGGAAAGCATGAGCATCAGTCCATTGCAGTATGCAAGTCCAGTAAATACCATGAAGATGGTGTGTTAGACATGATGGGATAGACAGGGCGGGATAGATATGGAGGATTAGACGTGGTGGAACAGACATGGTGGGATAGACATGGAGAATTAGATGTGGTGGGATAGACTTGGAGGATTAGACATGGTGAGATAGACATGGAGGATTAGACATGGTGGGATAAACATGGTGGGATGGACATGGTGGATTAGATATAGTGGGATAGACACAGTGGGATAGATATGGCAGATTAGACATGGTGGGATAGACATGGCGGGATGGACATGGAGGATTAGAGATGGTGGGATAGGCACAATGGGACAGGCATGGTGAGATAGACATGGCAGATTCGACATAGCAGGATAGACATAGTGGATTAGAGATGGTGGGATAGACATGGTGGGATTGATATGGAGGATTAGACATGGTGAGATAGACATGATGGAATAGACATGGTGGATTAGGCGTGGAGGATTAGACATGGTGGGATAGACATGGTGGGATCGATGTGGAGGTTTAGACATGGTGGGATAGACATAGTGGGATGGACATGGTTGATTAGAGATGGTGGGATAGACACAGTGGGATAGATATGGCAGATTAGACATAGCGGGATAGACATGGTGGGAAAAATGTGGTAAGATGGACATGGTGGATTAGAGATGATGGGATAGACATGGTGGGATAGACATGTGTGATTAGACATAATGGGATAGACATGGCAGGATAGATATGGTGGGATAAACATAGTGGGATGGACGTGGTAGATTAGAGATGATGGGATGACATGGCAGGATGGACATGGAGGGATAAACATGGGGGATTAGACATGGTGGGATAGACATGGGAAAATAGACATCGTGGGCTAGACATGGCGGGATGCTCATGGCAGGATAGACATGGCAGGATGGACATGGTAGGGCGGTCATGGCCACCTAACTCCTACAGCCCTGATGGTGGTAGAGGTGGTGCCCTAAGGGTGACTTTCTGACCATTCTCTCAAGGAGGAGGCCAAAAAGGCCGTTCTTCCCCTTGGGGTGTCTGGACAGGGTCTGGCTTCTCTGCAGACACCCCTTCCTTTCGGATAACCTCAGAGGTGACGCTTCCCTCTCACTCCTTCCCCTGTCCCCCCCACCCTCGTCCCCCTACAGACGACCAGCCAGACGGAGCTGGAAAACTGGATCACCGCCGTGCACTCAGCCTGCGCTGCCGCCGTGGCCAGACACCACCACAAGGAAGACACCCTTCGCCTCCTGCGGTCAGAGATCAAGAAACTGGAGCAGAAGATCGACATGGATGAGAAGATGAAGAAGATGGGCGAAATGCAGCTGTCTTCCGTCACTGATTCCAAGAAGAAGAAAACGATATTAGACCAGGTGAGCGTGCCCCATGGGTGCCGGCTGGGGTGGGGGTGGGGAGAAATCACTTACGTCTAGCCAGTCTTTCTGGTCACCTCGGACTCCCCAGCCATTGGCGGGATCCCCCTGTCAGCACGTCATCCAGGCTGCTAGCTTTGTTATTGTGACTCAGTTTTTCCTCACCCATTGTTTATGAGTGATTGTTATAATCCAAGTGGAACAAGATTGTATGGAATAAAAGACAACGAATTGAGAATGGTGATGCCCCTTCTCCCAGAGCTGTGGAATGCTGACACTTCGTTCCTCACTTTGGGCTTTGGGCCGTACCTGATGGTGCTCAACTTACCCCAGGCTCTGCACTTAGGGACCAGTCTGCGCAGGCTCAGGGAAACCATATGGGGTGCTGGGAATTGAACCCAGGTTGGCTACATGCAAGGCAGATACTCTCCTCGCCATGCTATCTCTCCGGCCCCATCAGTTCTCACTTTCTCAGAGGCACTCAGACTCAGGCCATGGTGGGATTCTTTTCCGATGCCTCCAGAGAGTTAGAATTTTAAAGGAAGAAAAAATTGGGCTGCAGGTAATTTCTGAGGATGATCATAAGCCTGCATTGAGCTAAGAAGGAGAGATGGGGTGCCTACCTTCTGTGCTCTTGCTTTAGCAGCAGGAAGAGCCATCTAGTGATGCATGGGGTCCTCTAACCTAACATCTAGGATGTGTGACCTGAACAAATACTATTTAGAGACGGTTACGGTTCAGGCTCACAGCATAGTCCACCCTGCTCTCCGACCATGTTCCTATCAAGTGCCCCCCTGTTTTGAAAAATTGAGGCAATAGCACAGCCGGTAGGACGTTTGCCTTGCACGCAGCTGACCTGATTGGCCCAGGTTTGATTCCTCCGCCCCTCTCGGAGAGCCCAGCAAGCTACCGAGAGTATCTCACGCGCATGGCAAAGTCTGGAAAGCTACCCGTGATGCGTTCCATATGCCAAACACAGTAACAACAGAGTCTCACAGCGGAGACGTTACTGGGCCTGCTTGAGCAAATCGATGAACAATGGGAGGACCGTGACTGCGGGCGAGACTCACCTAGTCAAAAAAATGAAGCCTTCAGAATTGTACAGTTCATGTACTTTGCCCGCTCACAATTGTGCCGCCATCACCTTTGCCTACTCCAGAAACTATCCCTCAAGGAAAACACAGTACCTGCTCATCAGTCACTGCCCCTCTGCCCACCCCACCCCTCATCCCCCACTCCCGCAACCCCCTCTAGCATTCTATACATCTTAATAGATTTATCTGGTTGGGATATTTCATAGGAATGGAATTACACTCCACAGTGTGGCTTCTGTGCTGGGAAGTCTTTCCCTTGGTGCTGTGTTTTGGAGAAGAGTCAGTAGTCTCTTCCCCTTTTATTGGTTTTCTGCTTTTTGTGTTTCGCCACCCGTTTCTTTCTCTGTTCACTCTGTGATGGACCTCTGGGCGATTTCTCCTTTTTGGTTATAATGCCTTGGGCAACGTTCTCATGCTTTATTTTAAGTTGAAGTACAAAGTAGCTCTTGTACAAAGTACAAATTACCTGGAAGAGTGTCAGTACCCTGGTGTCTTTGCTGTACGCCAAGTCTTCATCCCTCATCTCGCCATCCCTGCAGCCTTAGGAGTTGGGTACTATTGTGCTACTTTGAAAAAATAACCTTGGCTTCTCCTCAAGGCTGGAACTTTATGTATCCCAGAGTTTGGGTCCCCAGCATCTGTTTCCTGTAGCATCCTCCACACCCCCACCCCCACCCTCTGTCATATATCCCTTCCCCAGTTGTTCTTGGCCTTTTTTTCCAGCCTTTGATCTTTAATTCGCCTTCCTTTTCTTCTCTCTCTCTCTCTCTCTCTCTCTCTCTCTCTCTCTCTCTCTCTCTCTCTCTCTCTCTCTCTACCTATGCCAAACCCACCCTCGGGAAACTTCCTCGTTCGCCATACTGGAAATTCTGTGGGTTTCGTTTCTTCTGTCTCTGAGTTTGGGGTCCAGAGCATGGACCGAACAGACGCCAATGCCTGCACCTAGGAACCGTCGGATGGCAGCTTGCCTTGTCGCTGATATTGGCAGGTCTTTTGTCATAACTGTATTTGTTGTCCCGAATCTTTGCAGAAAACACTTCAATAGTGTTTTGGGTAATAGTCAATTAGCCCTGCTAATTACTAAAATGCTTCAGGTACCTTTTATGCCCTAGGATTCAAACAAGGACCTTGCCCCCAAAGGCCTCTGTACCGTTTGAGAACACTAGTACTGGATGTTCCTCTCCCTTTTTTTTTACTCTTTCCATATCTTCTATCCCTGTAGGTCTTCGTCTGGGAGCAGAACCTCGAACAGTTCCAAATGGACCTCTTCCGTTACCGCTGCTATTTAGCTAGCCTTCAGGGTGGGGAGCTGCCGAACCCCAAAAGGCTACTTGCCTTCGCCAGCCGGCCAACGAAGGTGGCCATGGGCCGCCTGGGCATCTTCTCTGTCTCGTCTTTCCATGCCCTGGTGAGTATCACTGTTGTATTCGGTAGAAATGCTTCCCTTGACTGATAATCCTGAGCAGGGATGCAAGTGTCTGGGGACGGTTGTTCTAGTTGATCTCCTGCCCTGCGTGTTGCTTTCAGACCCATCTGCTCTCTGCCCAGAACATCGAAGCCATGATCTGAATCTATTCCGAAATTGATCCCTTACATCAATCCAGACAGGGTCTCAATTACTGAGCAAAGGGAATGTGAGTAGCATGAGCCACTGCAGTGTTACCTGTGATGGTATAGCTAGTCTATTCTTGTACATCTAGTCTGTTATCTAGTATAGCATAATATTCTCTGTAGTGATTCCCAGAGAGGTTGGATTAGAGTGATCTGGGCTTGGGAGCAACAATGGCATGAGTCGGGGGTACTTCTGTTGGTTGACCTACAGGTCAGAGAGGGGTTGGCACAGCATGATAGCACAGTGGGTAGGGCCTCTGCCTTCCACATATCTGACCCACGGGACTGTAGCGATAGCACAGTGGATAAAGCGCTTGCCTTGCAAGCGGCCTATCCAGATTAGATTCCCAGCATCCCATACGGTCCCCTGAGCACTGCCAGGTGTGATTCCTGAGTGCAGAGCCAGGACTAACCCCTGTGCATTGCTGGATATGATTCAAAAAAGCAAAAACAAACAAACAAAAAAACCACATGGCTGACCCACGTTTGATCCCCAGGAAACAGTAGGGTCTCCCAAGCTGACAGGAGTGATCCCTGAGCCCAGAGCCAGGAGTAAGCCCTGAGCACCACTGGCTCTGGCCCAAAACAAACAAAAAAAGGAAAGAAAAAAAAAAGAAGAAGAAACATCTTGAAGAGCAGAAAGGGTGGGTGGCGGACCTCTGAGGGGTATCTTTCTGAAATGTGGGGAGGGGGATAGGCCAAATAAGTCTGGGAATCATGGAGGCTGCTGGTCTGTGATATGTACACACGTGCGCGTGCATACACACACACACACACACACACACACACCCATACACATACACACAAAAGTTTGTTATTCAACCCTCTTTGGGTATTGATGTGCTACTAACCCAAGTACATATTTTTATATTGATCATATGGAATGTGGACTTCTATGTCCATATCTTCCATCTATCATCCATCCTTCCATCCATCCATCCATCCATCCATCGTTCATCCATCTGTCCGTTTATCCATCTTTCTGTCCACCCATCTGTCCTTCCATCTATCCACCTGTCCATCCACCCATTCATCCATCTGCCCATCTGCCCATCCATCCATCCATCCATCCATCCATCCATCCATCCATCCATCCATCCACCCACCCACCCATCCATCCATCCATCCATCCATCCATCCATCCATCCATCCATCCATCTCTCCATGCTCGTAGCCATGTGCTCTCCATCCTGCACCCGGCCTAGAAGACAGAGGTCTCGCCATCTCCCTTCTCGCTTGATATTTGAGTGTTTGGATATTCTAGTTCCCTCAGAGAGTTTTGATCCAAGACAGCTGATCCATTAGAACAAGGCAGCCCAATCTCCCATTATTGGCTAGCCCTGCAGAGTCACTTGCTGGGGGGAGAGGATTTGCCCCCGCCCTCCGGAGTGGCAGACTGTAGAGCGGTGGTGTGTGTTTGCAATCTGTAATTTCATGTACTTGCTAAATTGCGAGCAGCTTTGTGTACTTTGGGGCTCCTTTCTTTTCTCAAAAAATCACTAGGCGAGTAACATGGTTTTAGCCTCTCCAAGTCACCACCCACTTAAAATGTACTGCACCTTCGCACATTTGCTGGGGAATGAAATGTTAGTGCAGGTTCCAGAACTGCTTTGGATCCAAAAAAAAAAAAAAGAAAACCCTTAGCACAACGTTCTCTGGGCTGGCCACGTCAGCTGTACCCTCCCATTGAATTCAGAGCTGTAATTCAGTCAGAGGCGTTTGTATTCTTTATAAATAGATTAGCGTCATCATTCGGATAATTAGGGGTAGATTTACATTTTTAAAGAAGTCTTAAACCAATTTCAGGAGTTATTAAAACTGGCATCCTGATTTGTTCAGCTAATTACAGCTCTTGGTCTCCCTGACTACCACCTCTCCATAGAGCTATTAAAGGCCTATTTCAAAAAAAAAATTTTTTTTAAAGTAACGATGGGTCAGAAGTACTGTCATGAATATTCCAGGCAAAACCTGTTCTGTGCCTGAGTTTAAAATGCTTCCTCTGAGACCTGGACCCACGTTGACCATATCTCCCAGTCTCACTTTGCCTATTCAGCAATATCAGGATGAAAAATTTCCTGTTGTTTCCCTTGAAACAAGTCATCCATTTGAGGAACCTTTTAGCTTAATTTTGCGTATGTGAAGGCTGCTCCGATGCCAACCATGGGGTAAGGGATAGGAGTTGCCAAGCCCTGAACTCTTTTCTTTGACCTGGCTTGAGGGAGTTCGGGGGAGACATCCTCTTTCTTCCCCTCAGACTTCCCGTCTTTGGATGATATTATTCCATCCATTAATTATTGATTTCAGAGCCCTTGCATCTCCCCACTTCTGAGAGGGGCAAGGAAAAGCCTCTGGATATGACGCTTCCAGAACTCAGCTCCCAACTTTCTAATTTCCTTGGTCTCCATATCTGTGATTTGTGTTTATTTTCCTTTGATGGGCAGGTCATTCAAATCTGTGTGTGTGTGTGTGTAAGGGGTTCGACCCGGATTGTATTGGTTTTGTTTTGTGTTGTTTTACTTGGGCTTTTTTGGCTGGTTCATTTGAAAGCAGAATAAGAATAAGAGTGACTTCTCAATTCCTTTTTTTTGTTGTTGTTGTTTTTTGCTGGCCACATTGTCAATGCAAATCTAGGTTCCATATATCTTTACAAACTTCCCTTTTCCTGGAGGGCCACCTTATCCCCGAGAACAAGTCAGGCCAGCCCGTTGGGTGCCTGCTCACTCCGTCTCTCTACCTCCCCTTCAAGATGCAAGCAGGGAAGTTTACTCTGATTTATTAGATGCTCATTTTCTTCTTCTCTCCATGTCATTTGACCTCGGGGAATTTTTTTCCCCTCTCATGGGATTGAAACATTCAATTTAGTCTTTGTCCAGACTTGGTTGCCTCCTGTTTTTAAGCCCTGGAGGAGGAGGAGGAGGTGGAGGAGGAGGTTTGAGGGTAACAGGCCAAGGGGAGGGGAGATGTGAGCTACAATTTAAGTCCCATTCACCAGGAGGGCTTCCCAGAATGCCCGGTGATTGGTGGTAATTAACTGAAGGGTCCTGCTGTACTCTTTGAAAGAAGGTTATCTTTGTTCTTGTTTGCACAGATGAGCGGGATGATAGAGTAATCGGGTTTCAGCCATAAAGGCAGCCATTGTCGCAGGGAAGGTCATTGAGAAACTCTCTGGAGCTTTTTGTCCAATGGTCTTTTTCCTTTTTTGGTCCACTTTTTAAAAAAAAAATTTTTTTCTTTCTGCATCACTTTGCTCATTTTGAGTCTTGATCATCTTAAGGGTTGTTCACAATAACTCTTGCAATTTACAAGGTCCCCGACAATTTGGCAGAGTCTCTCTCGGAACCCTAAATAAAGTGCCCGTTTGTTCAACAGACTAAAGTAACGAGTCAGCTGGTGACTGAGAATACTCAGGCTGGTGTGCAGGGCCCTGCCAGACTCTTGCTTTTCAAAAATTGTGAATGCAGGAATCACAGTTTGGTTGTTGTCTCGGTGTGATGGCGAATGTCGGCTCTGGCTTTTTGATGTTTGTTTCCTTGTTCCGTCACTCAGTGGGTCTCTGTGTGTTAGGCAGTGGCGGTTACTGAACTTACGGTTGGAGTTGGAACACTGCTCTAGTTGGCCCTTTTTTTCAGTAAAATGGTTTCCTTGAAGGAGGATTCTGATTCAACGGAGAATGTGGGACGGGGGTGGGGAGAGAGCAAGGGAATGGAAAAGTGAGAAAGAGATGAGCCAGCCCCCAAAGCAGAGGGAGAAAAATCTCGCCCTCCCAAGCATGTGTGTGTGTGTGTGTGTGTGTGTGTGTGTGTGTGTGTGAGAGAGAGAGAGAGAGAGAGAGAGAGAGAGAGATCTTTGTGGATCCGCTCCCATGCAGTTGCTTCCTGCCCCTCAAGGACTCCCCTGCACCACCCACCGTACTGTCTTTCCAGCCCCTTAAAATATTTTTTCTTGTCATTTCCCACTCCTATTTGGTCTGGGTCCTGCGACTCTCTTGAATCTGAACGTCACCGTTTCACCACTCTGGGTGTTTCTTGGTGGCGATTTCATCGTCTTGTCCTTCTTCAAGCTCATCTTGTTGTAAAGGGTCCGTGTTACGCTCAGCCAGTGGAGCGCTTTCTCTGGCTTTTGCAGGACAGGGCATCATCTCGGGGCAGGGGCCAGGGGTGGCCCTGGGGAACCCCCACATCACTCTGACTGAGTTTTTTCCTGGCTCTGCTCAGGTGGCAGCACGCACAGGAGAGACCGGAGTGAGGCGGCGAACTCAGGCCATGTCCCGGTCTGCCAGCAAGCGGAGGAGCAGGTTTTCCTCCCTCTGGGGGCTGGACACCACGTCTAAGAAGAAGCAGGGTCGCCCCAGCATCAATCAGGTAGGACGCATTCCATCGCTTCACCTCACTTTGGGGGGGGGGAGTGTGCTTGTATACATTTCTTTTATTTATTTATTTTATTAATTCACCATGAGGAACAGTCACAAAAATTTCATGTTTGAGCTTCGATCATACGGTCATCAAACACCCACCCCTTCACCAGTGCACGTTTTCCACCACCAAAATTCCCAGTATCCGCCCCTCCCCACCCCATTCCACACCTCCCCCCTGCCTGTGTTGCAGACAATTTGCAAAAATGCTCTCTTTCTCTACTTTAGTTACCTTCGATATTTCGAGACCAGTCCCACCACCCCTCATACCTGCCGAAAGTGCAATACTAGACAATGTGTTCTGTATTGCTTATTATGGATATAATATAATGTCGTGCAGCTCCAAGAATGACCGCCCGCTCTAGGAATTCTAAGATTTTAATAATTAGGGTCTGAAGAAATCCTTGCAGCAAGTTGCTCGGGTCCAAGATTCGTTTGTGTGTTTCTGGATTGTGGCCGTGAGGGAGCTTAAGTAGACGGATGTGGCGTCATCTCGGAGTCCCATCGGGGCGGGGGGATGGAGAAGGGCCCACTTCTCCCCTGTCCTGTGAGAATTGGGATTTGCCGTCACCGCAACTTGTACCTGGAGCTTGTCACTGACTTCTAGAAAATGGCGGCCACCGGAGCTCCTAGAGGGCAGGCAGATGGACAACACCTGCCCCCATCTGGAGCAGCCCAGCAGAGAAAGCCTATCGCAAAGTCTCGGGCCATCTCTGCAGCAAGTTGCTCGGGTCCAGGATTTGTTTGTGTGTCATGTGTGCGTTTCTTGGTTGATGACTGAATGTTCTGAAACATCTACCACGAGGACAGAGAGGAAGTCACGCAAGATGCTTTGAATGGATAAAGGAGACTCCTCGTCACCTCGAATGCTGCTATTGGACCCTCCTCGGGTGCTGGGCTGGCTCCCTCCTGCATCCTCTCAGACCTCCTGAAAAGTGCCTGCAGGGTAGGACAAAGAGAAAGGCAGATGATGAGGCCACCTGCGTGGCTTGGCATGGATCCTGCTGGGGCCCCCTGCTCTGGTGCAGGATCAGAGGCAGACCCCTGGCACGAGCATTTGTTTCTGTGCCCCTTATGTTGACATGAAATGAACAGTTCTCACATGGTTCCAGGAGACCAGCTCACCATCACTTGGACTCCCTTCTTCCCTCTCCAAAGGGAGTCTCAGGGTTTCACAGAGGGCACCCCCTCCCTGAAGGGCTCAGCATCAGAACCCCAAGAACCCCGTGTTGGTATCACACTGCTTTCCCTCCTTCCTGGCCCGGGCCCTGTGCAAGTGACACGTTGGCATCCTTCATCGACTCTGAAACCACATGGTCCAGTGCAGCCTGGTGGAGTGTCCGGGCCTGAAGAATAGGTTCTCCTCTTTTAGGAGGAAAAACGCAGCTTTGGGTCCCAGGCAGCATGTTCAGCCAGGGCAGGAGTGTTTTGTATTTTGAAACTCTCCTTGTGCACGGTGTCATAGACCGAACCTGGGGCTTCCAGCGTACAATGCAAATCACCCACTCCCGGGATCAAGCATTTGAACCCAGCAGATGCCTTTGCCCATCCATCTGCCCCTCTTCCTTGGGCCCTTTCCTAGCAAGAGACATCAGCGACCTGCTCGAATAGATCCTGCCTTGCTAGCTCTGACCATTCCTTCATGGAAATAGATATGAAGAGAGGAATCACGAAAGCTAAGGGGGTATTCCCGGTCAAACACGCGGCACCCCTGTCTCCTCTGGGGGGCCCTGGAGGAGACCCAGGAAGGAGGCGAGACCAAGCCCCAGACTGAGCCCTCTTGCAGTTCTTTTCATGACTTCTGGGGAGACACAAAGCTCCAGTTGGCTGCACTGGGCGTCTCCGTCTAGCTGAAGAAGTAACTGTTTGGAGCAAAGTCAGTATTTCATCAGATGAGGTCCCTCAGAGATGAGATGCTCATGAGGAGGCCTGCAGAAGTGGGGACGAGGGGGCATAAAGCAATCAGGATTTTTCCCCTTTTGGGGGGTGGAGATGGGGAAGGAGGCCTCCCCATGCAACCCCCAGCACTGCTGATGGCTCAGCTCACAGCCACAGAGCCATGTCCGGACTTGGCAGTTGACAAGTGGGTTTGAACATCACTCCCCTCAAAAGCGTTAGAATCCTTATTTATTTCATGTGGTTCTACTTTACTCGAGCCAGGTTACGTCACTGCTCTCTGCTGCTGAAATACATGACTGAATTTAAATGAATCCAAGAGAATATGCTTATTTTTTCAAGTCAGAGGACCACGTAATGCCTTATAAGCAATTCATATTTTCGATTAAATAGTTAAAAGAAAAAAAAATCTTGCCAAGCCATAAGCATTCCCGTTGAAATGTACTTGTTGATTTGGTACTTTGAAATGAACAAGCGATTGTAATTTTGGTATTTCTCCTTTGCATTGGGGAAAGGCTTGTTCTTCATCAAGATTATTATCCTAAGAGTGAGTATCTGCCAGGTTTAGCCAATATATGAAATGTCTCCGACCTTCCTGTTTTGATTTTTACTGCCTGTTGGCACGCAGATCAGGATTTGGTTGTAGCTTTAAGTTAGAGGTTTCATCCTCTTTCAAAGATTAGACTAGATTTTCTAATTTCTAAATGAAACAATGCTTTCTGCATCTTAAGAGTGTATTTTCAGAGTATTCAAAAGGAAACTAATACTATTTTTTTGGAGGGGGGGTGTCACACCCTGTGATGCTCAGTTACTCCTAGCTGGGTCTGCATTCAGAAATTATTTCTGCCAGTGCTTGGTGGATTGCATGGGATGCCAGGGATCGGATCCGATCAACCACATGCAAGGCAAATGCCCTACCCACTGTACTATCTCTCTGGCCCCCAGTTACTGATAAACTTTGATCAGGCAGAGAAGACTCGTAACAGAAAATCCCTCACTGTCTATAAACCAAATTCACTACTTTTCTAAGTTTATTTTCTTTACACTGTAGCACTGTCCTCCTGTTGTTCATCGATTTGCTTGAGTGAGCACCAGTCACGTCTCCATTGTGAGACTTGTTGTTACTGTTTTTGGCATATTGAATATGCCACAGGGAGCTCGCCAGGCTCTGCCATGTGGGTGGGATATTCTGGGTAGCTTGCTGGACTCTCTGAGCGGGACGGAGGAATCAACCCAGGTCAGCCACATGCAGGGCAAAGTTTTTAACGCTCTACCTGCTATGCTATCACTCTTTGCACATAGATGAATTATCCAGATCTAAACATTAGAGTCCATTCACTGATTCTTATTTTTTTTCAGTTTTTATTTGGGGGCCACTCCCCCTTTCTTTTAAATATAGGAGTACTGCTATTTATTCAGCCATTGATTAAGCTGATTGAATTGGGTATGAACTCCACATTACTTTTTTTTTTTTAATGAATCACCATGAGATAGAGTTACAAAGCTTTCATGTTCGAGATTCATCCATATAATGATCAAACACCCATCCCTCCACCAGTGCACACTTCCCACCACCAATGTTCCCAGTATCCCCCTCCCCCCACGCACACACACGCACGCCATCCCAGTCCTCACCCTACCTCCATGGCAGACAATTTCCCCAATACTCTCTCTCTACTTTTGGGCATTATGTTTTGCTCGAATTTTCCCACCACCATTCAAGTCTGCCTGCCAGGGCCAGACGCTAGATCATTTAATGTCTTGGGGCCACTCTTAACCATGCTCAGGGTTTATTCCCTGGTTCCATGCTCAGGGGTCCCTCCAGGCAGGTCTTGAGCAATGTTTCTGTTCTGCACTCTGGGATCCAGCAGGGGCCTGCCACATGCAAGGCAAGTGCGTTACCCACTGTCCTTTTTGTCCAGCTCGATTTTAGTTACTCTTTTTTTTTTCTTTTTGGCTTACACTCGGTGATGCTCAGGGGTTACTACTGGCTCATGCACTCAGGAATTACTCCTGGCAGTGCTGAGGAACCATATGGGATACTGGGAATTGAACCCAGGTCGGCCGTGTGAAAAGCAAACGCCTTACTTGCTGTGTGTGCTATCGCTCTAGCCCCTTTAGCTACTTTTTTTAGTTATCCAAGATCAGCGATGTGCCCTGGATGGAGGTGTGGAATGTTGGGGTCCTCTGCTGTTTGTGAACTTGCGTGTTGGAGGTGGGGTGGGAGATGCTGTGTTTCTGTTTGCCCATCTGTCTTCCTGCCCTTTCCAAGCTCACCCTCACCCTCCTACCCTAATTTCTCTCTAAGACCGTAATTTTGTGTGCGCAGGTGTTCGGGGAGGGCACGGACGCTGTCAAGAAATCTTTAGAGGGGATATTCGATGACACCGTTCCAGATGGCAAGGTAAAAATAAACGCCTTTTCTTTTCTCTAAAAAACGCCACAAAGGCATCCCATTACATACCACACCGTGGTTTCTGGGGGCTCTCAAATTAAGTCGAGTCGGGATTCAGTGCTGAAGGGACCAGTTCTTTAAAATCTCTGGACCTGCCAACAAGAGTTGCAAAGTGTTCCGCGTCCTAACTTGGTAACAAGCTCTAAATAACACTTCCCCTGCCACAGAATTTTCCGTCTTTGTCGGGGAAAGGTGTCAGCTCTCGTCTAGAATCTCAGAAGACATTTGGGATCTGGCTGTGTAGCTCCATCTTTCACTCATTCACCAATTCTTTTTCTACGCAGCTTTCAGGGCCAACTTCTTGGTACCCATTTGTCTGACTTGACACATGCTTTTTGGCGCCCTCCCCCCATTTGTTTGAGAGAATTGCTCCAATAGTACGTTCTTTCAGAAACCTCCATCTTACCCTCCCAAGATAAGCAACCATGAAAGATTCACAGACATGGTTCAGCTCTGCGCTTGCATTCCAAGGAGCTTTCTCATTGCTGTGATTGAAAAGCCCATAAGGAATATTGATTTTTTTTTTAAACTCAGCCATTTTCCCCCCACCATCCTCACGATAAATGGACATCCTTAGCTGTACAGCCCCTAGAAGTGATATCAGCGGCCTCTTTGTGCCAGGGATTCGGCTATGGATAAGACGACCTTGGTACGATCTTGGTCCCCACCCCCTCTCGGAATCAATAGGACAGAGTTCAGCTTCTGGTTGCCATGCAACCAGGCAGTGGCACCGAGCTTTGGCTGGACCGCACGCTCTAGACGCAGCCTGATCTCGGAAGCCCTGGGCCCAGGGGGACTGGGAAGAGAAACCTTTTCTCCCATTCAAACCCGAACCGCTCTTGGATGATGTCATTGAGGATACAAAAATCAACTGTCCTTGGAAACACCCATCCTTGGAGCATCTCTCTCTGTGTCTGATGAAATTGGATGAAATGAAATTGCTGTACTTGCACCCAGGCCAAGGTTGTCCTTTTTTTTTTCTCCTTAAAACGTGTGTATAGCCATTTTGTCTTTAGCTAATTTTATTTTGCAACCGATATTAATATGCTGTCCATGGGAGATGCTCTCCAGGCTCTTGGATCCTAGGAAGAGCTCAGAGTTTCTGTCGGGTAATTCTGTTGACTTTTTGATGTCCCCGTTTTGCTGCCTTCGTCTTTATCCCTCTTCTTGGCTGGAATGCCCTGTACCCACGAAGCAGTCTCCACGCAAAGCTTGAGTCGTTGATCCACTGCTACAGGGCATTTATTTAACATGGCATGTGGGGACCGAGTGGGAAGAGTCCAATTATAGTTAATGGGATTTAGGCAAGTTGATTGCTTTTTGACAATTCCTCCCCTGGGGTTCAATTTACTTGTGCAAGTAACACCATTCAAAGGCACCGCTGAAATTGTCTTCAACAATCGAATTTTCCTTTAGTGGCCTTGACAAAAATTGGCCTTTTTCTGGATTCCTTGTTTTGATGTATGGACACTGTTACATTACCGTCTCTCAACTTCTCTTTGGAAATGTGGGGGTTTTTTTCCCCCTTGTAATTTGCTGATCCCAAGCCTTGTTAGTACATATTAACCAGTCAGCAGCTTGGCTATAAACCAGTAATCAAGGCTTATTCATTAGCAAGAATCAGATAGAGCAATATGGATTTTTTTTCTTTTTGGGTCATACCCAGCGATGTTTAGGGGTTATTCTGGCTCATGCACTTAGGAATTACTTCTGGTGGTGCTCGGGGGACCATATGTGATGCTGGGGATCGAACCCGGGTTGGCCGCGTGCAAGGCAAATGCCCTACCCTCTGTGCTATTGCTCCAGTCCCCCAATATGGATTTTTCTACTGCTGAGCCCTAACATTATTCAAAGAAATTGGGGTTTGGGGAGACAGATCAGGTGGTAGCATGTGTGAGGTCCTGAGTTTGATCCCTGGTGCCAGCCCCCTCTCTGCCCCCCAAACACCACTGATTTAGTTATGTGGCTATGGAGCACCACTCAGTGACTCCTAGATAAAGAGCAACTTTGCATATTCAAGAGATGTTATAAGGAAAATTATTAATGAGATTTGAAATAGAAGGCAATGAAAAGAAAACAGTGTTTCTGTCATTCCATTACGGTATGGGCTATTTTTAGCTTGAGCCAGATAGCTTACTTGGATGGCATCCAGATGTCAGACACTCGCCATAAAACTGAACTGAATGGATGGATGATCCACTTCTTCCCTCCAAGCTTTTATGTCATGCCCTCCCGAGCCCCAAGATCCCTGCAGGTCCCCAGGAAACCTCCTTTCTCAATAGCTTTTTCCTCCGTGCAAGGATTCCGTTCCCCTTTTCCTCCTACCTTGGATCCTCCTCACTGACCTACCATGGGGACTTCAGGGGGTGATAGGGACCCTGATGGGGACCCGACAGGGCTAGATACCATGCTCACTGCCCAGCTGACTCTGTTTCTTCTGACAGAGGGACAAAGACCTGGTCTTACCCAGCGTCCACCAGCACAATCCTGACTGTGACATTTGGGTCCACGAGTATTTCACACCCTCCTGGTTCTGTCTGCCGAATAACCAGCCAGTCCTGACGGTGGTCCGGCCGGGGGACACTGCCCGTGACACTCTGGAGATGATCTGCAAGGTACGATGCCACGAGGGGTGATTCTCTTGAGGAGGAGTCCTAGAGCCTGGAGGGATGGGCAGGGTCCACACGGGGAACTGCAGGGGCAGGTCGGACTCAAGGGGCGCCGTGAGACCACTCTCCCGGGCCTTGGGTTCTCATGACAGTGCACACATGTGGTCTGAGTGAGGGAATTCTCCAACTTCAGTGTGTTTGTACTCGGTCTGTTACATGCTTTTTGTTAAAAAGTTTCGACTGTTTTGGGGAAAGCATGAAGCAGAATGCATAGGTCAGCCTTCCCCCAGCAATGCAGAAGTGACTCCCGGAAACGTTTTGATTTTGGTCTCAGTTCTTTTCCTTCTCTCCACACGTGTGCATGCACACACTCGCACTCATGGGCATGTACACACAGACACACACACATATACACACATGCACTCATGCGCATGGGCGCATGTGCGCACGCGCGCACACACACACACACGACCACAGTAGATGAGGTGCACAGTTTGTAACCAGCTCGCTGAGGAGGGTAAGTGACACAACCACAGCATCTACAGAGGGGAGGAAAAACGGAGATTGGTATTTCGCCCCCCCCCCCCCACTCCAACCACTTCCTCTTCCTGTGGACATGTAATGAACCATTTTGGGGGCGATGCAGAAAGGGATGAAAAATGACAGCGCTACCTTCCTCTCGATTTCCCTTTAGGTTATAGAAACTGCCTGAGCAAGAGGGCCAGAGGGAGAGTAGAGCAGTTAGCGTGCTTACTTTGCATGTGACTGACCTGGGTTCCATCCCCGCTCCGTGTAGGGTCCCCGGAGCTGTGCTAGGAGTGATCCCCGAGTACAGAGCAAGCCCTGAGCACTGTCAGATGTAGCTCATAAACAGAAAGGTGGGGGGAGGGGGGATGGCTTCTTGATACTTTCCTGGGTGAACTGGGTTTCAGAGTTTCCCCCGGGAAGGATAGTTCGATCAACGGCCTTAAGTGAGGGAAGGGTTTAGAAGGAGGGGCCCTGGCTAGCTCCCCACGCCTCCTTTCCAGTTTGTGACCTATCTGGCAGTTCTGTCGGGTGTGAGAAGAGATGATACTCTGTCCCCTCTGATGCCCAGAGACCCTTGGTGCCTGCCTGGTTTCACCTTGCAGGTGGTTGCAGGAGAGGTGCTCAACCTGCCTTGGGCCACTCCCAGCTTGGGTGTGGCCACCTGTGACCACGGGTGGGAGGTCCCAAGAGCACCCAGTGGATGGTGGCCGGAATGCAGGCTGTAAGGTTTGGGCAGTGGTCTTCCTGCAGGGGGAGAGGCCGGGAGTGCAAACACATGCCATCACCACTTTATCTCAGAGGGAGGTGGAAGATGCGCTTAGCATCTTATCATTCAACCCAGTGGCTTCTATGGACCGAATAACAGTGCCTGAGCTCAATCATCAACTGGGTAATTCTGCCACAAGCAATTATTTTGGTGTATTTCTTAAAAATGTATGTGTCAGTGTATGTGGTTTGTTGTTGTTGTTGGGGTCTGCCCTACCCCCACTCCCACCCCCATTTTAGTGTTTGCGCCACACCTGGCAATGCTCAGGGGTTACTCCTGCACTCAGGATATACTCCTGGCATGTATGTGGGACCATATGGGATGCCAGGTATCGAACCTGAGTCAGCTGCATGTAAGGCAAGAGCCCTACCCACTGTACTGTCTCCCTAACCCCATATTGGTTTGGTTTTTTGAGCCACAAATGTGCTCAGGGGGACCATATGTGATGTCAGAAATGGAAATGTAACTGGCCATGTGCAAGGCAAATGCCTTAACCCTGTGACACTCTCTGGTCCATCTTTTCTTTTTGCTTTTCTTTTCTCTTTTCTTTTTTTTTCTCTTCGTTTCTTTTCCTTTTCTCTGTTCTTTCCTCTTCTTTTCCTTTCTTTTCTTTTCTCTTATTTTCTTTTCCTTTTTTTTTCTTTTTTAGTTTTTGGGCTATACCCAGCGGTGCTCAGGGCTCACTGCTCCTAGCAGGGTTCAGGGGACCTTGTAGGATGCTGAGGATTGAACCTCGGGGTGGGCGCTTGCAGGGCAAGAGCCTTAGCTCTGTACTATTTCTCGAGACCCAGCCCATGTTTGTTTTCAGGAAGAGAAATCACTAGAGCCTTTGTAAGGACCAAAAATGAACTGGCTCTGAGTCGGGGAAGCAGCTCATTTGAGCCTTCCGGGTCCTCTGACTCGGAGGAACAGTAGAAGGACCATTTGTTTGAGGACAAAGCTGAAACCAGCCCCCAGAGAGGTGTTAGAAATAAGTCATGCCCCTTGCATGCCCCGCCTGCTCTGGGGCACTCACTTTTTTACAAAGATAATGCTGTTTCTGTGCACATTTTTTCATTTTAGTTACTTAGCAAAATTGGTCTATTGAGGATTTCTGCATTCTTTTATTTATAGATTAGCTGGATTCTTTAGAGGCCCATTACTGTTCCGCAGAGCTGTGGGAGTTATTCTCAGAACTGTAGGAGAAGGTGTCAGAAATAGGACTCTGGCCCTTTTGTATAAGCAGAACTCTGGTGGGGCTAGGGAGTCGCATTGCTTTGGCACCTACTGTTTACACTGACCTCAGGTAGCTGTCAGAGGTCTTCCAACCTTTCCCGTTAACCCTCCTTGGTAGCACTGTACACTGTCCTCCCTTTGTTCATTGATATGCTCGAGCGGGCACCAGTAACATCTCATTGTGAGACTTGTTGTTACTGTTTTTGGCATATCGAATGCGTCACGCACAGCTTGCTAGGCTCTTCCATGCAGGCGGGATACCTTTGGTAGCTTGCCGGGCTCTCCAAGACGGAGGAATTGAACCCGGGTTGGCCACGTGCAAGGCAAACGCCCTACCCGCTGTGCTATCGCTCCAGCCCTAGGAAATGGAAATGTGGGTGCAGAAATAAGTGATGCCCTTCCCAGGTCTCTATTCTGATAGAAGCAGAGGGAAGGAGCAAAAAGTAGTGAGCCAGGGGGCTGGAGTGATAGCATAGCGGATAGGGCGTTTGACTTGCACACGGCCGACCCAGGTTTGATTCCCAGCATCCCATAGGGTCCCCTGAGCACCACCACCAGGGGTAATTCCTGAGTGCAGAGCCAGGAGTAACCCCTGTGCATCTCCTGGTATGACCCAAAAAGCAAAAAAAAAAAAAAAGTGCCAACAACAGAGACCCTCACCAGAAACTCAGGGGCTCCTGCCCTCCGCCCCCTCCTAAAAACCACCATTGTCACTGTCCCTGGAAAGGTTTTTGATGGAATCCTTAGGGCACAGAGATCCCTTTCTCTGAATTTAGAAGGTCACCCCACCCCCTTTTCTCCTGGATCTTTCCTCAGTTGTTTCCCCTCCACCCCGCCCCCCAAACGCAGAGACAAAGGCCAAAACAGTATGATGCCAAACAGCCTTGCGCCTCAGGAGTTTAAAAACGGAAAACTTTAGTGTGCCCTTTAAGAAATTGATGGTCTCTGGAACGCATCTGTGGAGGGTAAATTACACAGTGTGCCCAGAGCCAGGTGCCTTTGAAAGCGTGCCTGCCGCATCTTTGGAAAACACTTTATGCTAATTAGCAGAGTCGATTTTATTCTTAAGAGGGAAGGAGATAATGGGGGAAACAGTGCCACATGTTATTAATGATCTAATTAATGGTGAGTGAGGGTTCTTGGTGTTTTTGATTTTTTTTTTCTTCCTTTTCCCTCCCTCCTCTCTTTTGGGGGCGGGATCAAAACCAAACGTGATTGTCATGATGTCTTTGATGCCTCTATTGTCGCTCTCTCCGCATCGCAGATAGATGTTCGCTCTTGTATTGCATCTCTTTCTTTTCGCCTCTTGCATTTGCCTCATTCTCTTTCCTATTTCCTCTGGTCCACATCATTTCCCATCATTTTGCCATCTGCCACCCACGCATCAGGGTCTAGTCAATATTTCGAGATCTCCATTCCGGGAGTGGGGGGGTCACGAAAGTGATTAATTGCCAGTGATCAGTAATCGCACTGACCAGGCAGCTCCTGGAGTTCGGTCTATCTTCTGGTGATTGTGTTTGGCAAAACCCTGGCCAAAGAGAAGTTCCTTCACTCGAATTCACTGAAAAAATTCATGTCTGACCAGGAAACTGGTTTTATCGCTCTTAATTGCTATGTTAGCCAATGGCTTTAGATAGTCCATAACCATTGGCATTGAAAAGAGATTAAGAGTTCTTGAAAGAAAGAGGAACATCTGTGGAAATTTTTCAGTAGCTTGAACAATTATTTTTGTGTGCTTGCACATGTGTGTGTTTGTGTTTGTGTGTGTGTAAGTGTGTGTGTATTTGGTGCTTGCATGCTTCTATGTTTCCCTGAGATGTTGGACTGCAGTGGACACATCCGGAGTGGACTTGAACAAGATGTGCTAGACTGGAAGATTGTCAGTCCCTATTTTCATGGGCTCCAGCTACTGACTGCAAATGCCGACTTTGTGTTTTTGCTTTTCCGTACTGTGAAGCCATCACAGTAAGAGGCAAATGTTTGCCTGCGAAACCCCAAGCCATTCCATGATAATATTTATCACGCGGTGTAATTTGCTGCTGCCTTGTCTCAGAATCAGCCCAGTGCTCTCCGAGTCACTCAGGTATTGGACGGGGGAGGCAGATGTCTACCATTGACTTTTTTTTTTTCTTAGGTTAATTTCTCATGCTGGGAAATTTTGCTTGTGAATGTCTTCCAAGCCTAAAGCAAGCCAACTTTAGATTCGTTTTGTCAAAATACTAATACTGGGAATGCTTTTGCACAAAAATATGTTGCAACGGTGCTAAGTCGTCAGCCAGCTTTGGGACTCCCACCTGATTCTGGTGGGTCATGAAATTCTGGCTGAGTTCTGATTGCTTGATCCAGTTCATGCGTTACGATTCGCCCTTTCTCTCCAACCAGTCCTTCACTCAGTCCTAAATGAGAAATCTTACCCCCACTTTTTGGCTTTTTGGGTCACACCCAACAATGCTCGGGGGTTCCTCCTGACTCTGCACTTGGGAATTTCTCCTGGCACTGCTCTGGGGACCATATGGGATGCTGGGGATCGAACCAGGGTCAGCCACATAGAAAATAATTGCCCTCTTTGCCATACTATCGCTCCAGCCCCTAAATGAGAATTCTTTACAAAATGATGAGCTGCTTGGCTCTGCGGCCCATTTGCAGGGTCTCAGTTTACCCATCAGACTTGGGTTCTAAGAGGATGATGATTTGCTGCATGAGTTTACTTTGACTTCTCCAGTGTTTGCCACGGGATGACTGTAACTCAAACAAGTGTGGTGGGTGGGAGAGGCTGGCAATGCCTGCTCTCATGTCACTGGAACGCTGATTGTTGGGGAACAGTTTTCCCCCAATGTGCCTGGACACTTTGTTCACCAGGTCCGGGCAGACGTGGGGTGAAGGATAATGGGCACGTGGAGAAACACCCTCCGGGAGCAGCTGATGGCTGTTTTCCCTTTATTGCCAAACACACACATATTTTATAGAGGGTCTTGGCTTACAGAAAGGTCCAGTCACAGTAAGTTTTGCGTTACTGGCCTCTCACCTCTCCAACTCCGCTTTGCGCCGGTCCAATCCCAATCAAGGCTAGATGCTGCATTTAGGATGACTTTCCTAAGCATACGTGACAGTTTCTGTGTCTTGGGCTCATGTGACCAGGAGGTCGAGTTGGGGCTCAAGGCTGAACACCTGGTGCTGGCTGCCACCCTGTTCTTGCCAACTTTGTCCAGATACTCCCTCTTGCGAGGCTTTGCTTCTGGGCCGCTTTACAAGGTCGGGTCTTATCTGCTCCAGTGCCTGTTACCATGCTCCACAGCTGATCTTGTGTTTTCTCTTTTGTGGATGCCCGGCGGCTTTGGGCCCGCCACATGGGCAGCCGTTTGGTGTTGCCCATCTGTGTGTCTGTGTTTCTGACATGGGGGCAGGGGAAGGAGAAGGAGGGAGGGCACTTACACGGCCACTTGGAAAGCTGGGGTGAGAGGGGGCGGTGGCCTGGCACCCAACCCTCCTTCCTCCAGAGCCTCTGAGGGCCACTGGGGGGGGGGGGGTCGATTTCCATCAATGCCTTAGACAGGTGGCTGCCAAGCGCTTCTTAAACAGTGATGCAGAAGGTCATGAGGGGATTTGTGAACCCAAACTCTCCCTCTAACACACTTACACCCCCAAACAAGTTTTCTTTCTTTTTCCCACCCACCTCGATGACTAGAAACAGATGGTGAGCCCCAAATCAGGCCTCTCGTTTCAGAGTTTTCTGAACACCTAGGTAGCTGGGGATGTTCTTGCTTCTTCCTTTTCTGTGAGGGAAACTGTTCTTGCTTCTCTGTCCCAAGCCGCCTGGAATCTGCTGTTTTGTCTCAGCAAGTCCTCATCACCCTGTGGCCCCCCCACCCCTTCAAACACCCTGTTTGGTCCGTCCCCGTTCTCACACACCTGTCTGTATTCTCAGGGAAAAGCCCATCAACCCAGGGAGCACTGTAGCACTGTCCCCCATTGTTCATCAGTTTGCTCAAGCGGGCACCAGTAATGTCTCCATAGTGAGACTTGTTGTTACTGTTTTTGGCATATTGAATATGCCACTGGGAGCTTGCCAGGCTCTGCCATGGGGATGGGATAATCTGGATAACTTGCCGGGCTCTCCGAGTGGGACGGAGGAATCGAACCTGGGTTGGCCATGTGCAAGGCTAATGCCCTACCCCCTGTGCTATCGCTCCAGTAATAATCCAGGGAGAAGGGCTGTAAATTCCAACCATTACTATTTCACAGTTGTTGGCTCCATGAGTCAGAGGAAGTGAGGTGCGCATGGGGGCACCACAGTGGGCCACAGGCTCCGGTGACTTGGGAGCAGGGAAAGCCAATGTTGGGGGTCCCAAGGATCATCCCTGGAGAATGTTTCTAGCATCTTCTCGTGGACGCGCAAAAGCTCTGTGCCACTTTGAGGTATACGCATTGACTTTGTAGTTATACCCATGGGAGGCCCCATCACACCCCTTTTTCCACCTCCCATTTCCTGCACCTCCTTCTCCCAACGTCCCCCTCAAGAGTTTGTGTGACAGGACTGAGTCAGCAGGGCTGAAAGAACGGCCCGTGTGTCCATACAGCCCTGAGGTGAATAGAAAGAAAAACTAAACTTGTGAAAAAATGGACCTCACTTGGGGCTGGAGCGATAGCACAGCGGGTAGGGCATTTGCCTTGCACGCAGCCAACCCGAGTTTGATTCCCAGCATTCCATATGGTTCCCTGAGTACTGCCAGGAGTAATTCCTGAGTGCAGAGCAAGGAGTAACCCCTGTGCATCGCTGGGTATGACCCAAGAAGAAAAGAAAAAAAAAGGGCTGGAGCGATAGCACAGTGGGTAGGGTGTTTGCCTTGTACGCAGCCAACCTGGGTTTGATTCCCAGCATCCCATATGGTGCCCTGAGCACCGCCAGGAGTAACTCCTGTGCATCGCCGGGTGTGACCCAAAAAGTGGGGGAAAAAAAGGACCTCACTCACTTAATGGTGATTCTTATCAGTAGAGATTTTGGCGTGAGGAACATTGATGTTTATGGGGGGGGGGAAGAATTCAGGGGCCAGAGTAATAGTGCAGTGGGTAGGGAATTTGCCTTGCACATGGCCCATCTGGGTTCAGCCCCTGGAACCCCAGTGTGGTCCCATGAGCCTCCCAGGAGAGATTCAACCGTAGTTGCAGAGCAAGGAAAAAGCCCTGATCATTCTTGGGGGTGGCCCAGAATCAATAATAACAACAAAAAGAATTCAGAGGGCTGGAGTGATAGCACAGCAGGTAGGGCATTTGCCTTGCATGTGGCCAACCCGGGTTCCATTTCCAGCATCCTATATGGTCCCCCAAGTACCGCCAGGAGTAATTCCTGAATGCAGAGCCAGGAGTAACCCTTGTGCATCGCCGGGTGTGACCCAAAAAGAAAAAAAAAAACAGAACTCAGAGACTTACTTGGGAGTAGAGAGCATATGGTAAATAACACAAGCAAATCCAAACTAAGTATCAGAAGTACGAGATTATGTTTTATCTTTTCCTCCCCCTGACCCTGGCTTGGGATTATTTTGGAAGCAAATTCCAGACATCCTGTCTGTATCTGCTGGTCCTTGAGGATGAATCTCAGGCAGATAAGGAAGCTCCAGAGAAAAATGACTTGCCGGAAACATTTTCTGCCTCGTAGTACATTTTCCCATAGTCGCATATATTTTTAAGGCCACGTTTGACTTTTCCCTTTGCACCTTCTCAAAAGCATGTGAGATATAAGCCTCTGTTGACCTTCTTGCTTTCTCTGTAAAGTTCATTCATGCATGAACTTCTTGGTAGAAAAAAAAAAGAGCTTGAATTGGTCCATTTTGAACCCAGGGAGAAGGGCTGGAAGTTTCAACCCATCACTATTTTACAGTTGTTTGCTTTGGGCAGGCCAGTGGCTGTGTTTCCAAAGTTGGACCTATGCCTATGTCCAACTCCTCCAGTGGGGCTCGCTCTGGGTGAAGGTAAATAAGACCAAAATCTTCGCTCACACCGGCTCTCCAATGACCCATGAACAATTGTCCCCAAGTGGGTAAGGAACTTTGCTTGCCTGGGCACAGTTTTTTTTCCCCCTAACACTGGAAAACCCTCTGTTGATTTTTTTTGTTCTTTGCTTTTCGGGTCACACTCAGCCATGCTCAGGGGTTACTCCTGGCTCTGCACTCAGGAATTACTCCTGGCGGTGCTCAGAGGATCATATGGGATGCGGGCGATTGAACCCGGATCAGCCGCCTGCAAGGCAAGCACCCTCCTGACTGTCCTTTTGCTCCGGTTCCTCTGTTGATTTTTTTGTCACTCTTTTTACTGCTTTCTTCATGTCCACTGGGAATTCTATCCCGGTCTTCTTGGCTCGGTGTGGCGGCCTTCATCAGGGTTAGAGAGAATCATGGTCCTGATAAGCAGAAGTGAAAACATGACTCAGTCATTTCTCTGGAATCGGAAGCACTCTGTAAATTAATGTTATTAATGTTTTAAAAAGAAATGAGTTTAGGGCGGGAGCGATAGAACAGCAGGTAGGGCATTTGCCTCGCACACGGCTGACCTGGGTTCCATCCCCGGCATCCCATAAGGTCCGCTGATCACCGCAAGGAGTAATTCCTGAGTGCAGAGCCAGGAGTAACCCCGAGCATCGTCGGGTGTGACCCCAAAAAAGCCAAAATATATATATACATTTTTTTTGAGGTTTGGATATTTTATGAAGTCTGAAACCGTGTCCCATGTCCAGAGGCACATGCTGTACCCTTGGGATTTCACGACAGTCCAATCCTGACTTCGTGCTTCTTCCTGTTTAGTATTGAACAGACACATTCTCCTCTTCTCTTTTTTTTTTTTTTCCTTCACCTCCAGATGCATCACCTGGACCATTCTGCTCATTACCTGCGTCTGAAATTTCTGATCGAGAACAAAATGCAGCACTATGTCCCCAAGCCCGAGGAGGACATCTATGAGCTGGTAAGGTTTCAGACTGTTCTCCACTGACCCTCCCGAGAGCGGGTGTGTGTCCAGGCGATTTGGGGGATGGAGCGAACGTGGGAGCTGACGAGGCTCTTCTCAAGGGCTGGAGCTTGTGGCCGGAGCCCTTCTCAGAGCTCACGGTGGGCACAGGGTGGAAATGGCACCTCGGTCTTTGCCAGTAGTAATGCTGGCTGCTCTCAGGAAAAGTGGAAGTCAGGGCTGGCCTCAGGAGCACTTTGCTCCTGTTCCTCCTCTTCTAGCAACACAGATGGGTGGTTTCTTTTAAGTATCTGTCCCAGAGAGCAGCTGGCTGTAGTCAGCCCCCCGCCCCCTGCCCCAAACAAGGGAAACCCTTTTAAATGTTTGTGTGACTTAGTACCCACAGATTTGAAACCATGGGTTGAATTCTGCCATGCAAACAGGTCACTGTATAATTACAGATGCCAGCCTTTCCCTCATGCGGCCGTGTGTCTATAGACTTGTGAGGGCATTTATGTATGTTGGAGTTTCATTCTGGGACTTGTTCTTGGTTGTACAAACCTGTTGGCTAATGGCTGCTTACTAGTTTTGTGGCATTGGCCAGGAAGGAAGGAGAGAGGTGCTAATACTTCATTTCTAGGAGGTTTGCTGAGTTAAGAAATTAGAATCCACATAGTAGATGCTTAATAAAGGAGTGTCGTAGTCGTAATATTGGGACTGATTCTTAGCTTGTTAGCTGAGTGGAGCTCCAGAAAAGAAACAGTTTGGAGTCTTGTTCTCCTCTCTCTCTCTCTCTCTCTCTCTCTCTCTCTCTCTCTCTCTCTCTCTCTCTGCCTCTGCCTCTGCCTCTCCTTCTTTCTCTCCCTCTCCCTCTTTCTCTCTCTCCCTCTCTCCCTCCCCAACACTCCCGAGCTATTTGCTCTGGATCTATATATGCTTGTAGAGGGACTTCAGACAGTTTCATCACAGTGGAAAAAACTGAGCATTTGAATCCTAGTGGTTTCTGAAAAAGGGAAGTGTGGTTAGCAGGGCGGCCAGAGAGCTAGATCAGAGGCGCTTGCCTTGCACATGACCTACCCAGTAGTGCTCCTTGAGCACAGAGCAGAAGTAAACCCTTGAGCACTGCTGGATGTGGCCCAAAAGCCAAAAACATAAATTAAATAAAGTAGTAAGTAGCTCCATTATACTTTTTCAGGATGATTTTGAGGATCAGGCATAGACTTTTGCATGGAAGTGCTCCAGCATGGGTCCCCTGGCCCAGTCCAGGAGTTTCATTTTCATCAGTGCTTTTGAGCTTTGCTTTCTCTGCAGCTAAGTTCCCCCATTTCTGAGCATCCATTTGATCCAAGCGTTTTTTAGCATATACAGACAGTCGATCATCTTATTACCCCCATTGTCACTGGGTCCCTGAAATGGGTATGCCTCTTGAAGCATTCTCGTGACATGGGAGAGAAAGCATGTTGGGGGGGGGGGGGGAAGCGGCATCAAGCCATGCCACGCATGGGCAAAGGGCTGAGTCATCCTCAAACTTCTCTGAAACCCTCGTGTGTTCGCAGAGGAGGGGGCTCTCGGCACAGAGAGGCTGACGCAGAAGGCGCCGGTCAGCACCTGTCTCTAGCAGAGGGATGAGGGGCGAGGGACTGGAGTGATAGCACAGCAGGGAGGGCGTTTACCTTGCACTCAGCCAACCCCGGTTCAATCCCCGGCATCCTGTATGGTCTCCCCGAGCACCACCAGGAGTAACTCCTGAGTGCAGAGCCAGGAAGAACCCCCAAGCATTGCCAGGTGTGATCCAGAAAGCCAAAAGAAAAAAAGAGGGGTGAGAGGGTTCAGGTGGTTTGCTGGTTACAGCAGAGTCTCAAGGATCTGTTTTCCTGTTACGGGGAAATGAATTAGCCTGATTCTGAACGATCCGGTTCACCCCTGGGCACCTTTCCTATCCCCGATATCTTATACATTATAAGTACTGGATGTATATATCTTATACATTCAAACACCTTGTTTTGGAAATGACATTGACTCACTTCGTCTTAGCCGTTATATGGGAGACTCAGGGTCGTCTGCTGGTACCTATAATTTTTTATTTCTTTTTGGGTCACACTCAGCGATGCACAGGGGTTACTCCTGGCTTATACACTCAGGAATTACTCCTGACAGTGCTCAGGGACCATATGGAATGCTGGGAATCGAACCCGGGTTGACTGCATGCAAGGCAAACGCCCAACCCACTGTGCTATTGCTCCAGCCCCATGGTGCCTATGATTTTTAGGAAAATCTGTAAACTATCAAGAGACTGTGAGACATTTTTTTTTTTGAGAAACATCTCCAACTTAGAGATACCTAAGGAAACAAATGCCATATTCTCACTCACTTTATTACTCAGGTTGTCCTTAAAAGTGTCACCTTGCCACCTCTATTCTTGGCAGCTGGTGGTGTTGGGCCACCGCAGGCAGTGCTCAGGGCTCCCTCCTGGCTCTGTGCTCAGAGCTCAGTTTGCAGTGCTCGGGGAACCATTTGTGGTGCCAGGGCTGGAACTTGAGTGAGGCCCTTGGAAGCCTTTACCCCTGCTCTATTTCCCGGGCCCCTCCACCGTTATTTTTTGTTGAATTCCCTAACATTTTTGTTCTTAAGATCTCTCTGGCCTCCCAGCAGTGCCTCTGAGAAGAAGTCCTCCCCATACCCTCGAGTTCATGAAATAAAATGCCTACGATGCCCCGTGGCCCAATTATGTGGAGATAATTACGGGCCACATATCTTACATGGCAGATTATATGGGTGTGCATTTATGAACCCATTAAACAAGGAGACCTGGTGGGCGGTCTTGCGGCCATCACCATTTCGAAGTCACAGTGGGCCTCCGTGAATATTTTGGGACGATAGCAGAAACGAGACAGTAGCTGTGAGGGCCCTTGCTAGGACGTTGTCAGCCACCAAGCACATGTCTCTGGGTCGCCTGGGCTCATTTAGTGAATATGAGGTGAGTGAATGTCGAGATGTCATTTCCGGTCCCCACCTCCATGTTCCCAGGCCTCCAGAATTTATCCTGGAGTCCTGCTTTCCGCCAAGAAGCTGATTGGATCGGAGAGGATTGCTCGGGCTTCTGACCCGTCAGCCTTCCTGCTCACTCCTGGAGAGATTGCCGGCTGCCCTGGGACCCTCGTGGTGAACTGATTTTCTTCACCCGTGTCGTTGTGACACCCTGGGTGTCGGCAATTCTGTCCTATGTGACTTCCGACTCCCAGATGGTTGGCCCCTTCTGCTTTTTCTTTCCTTTTCGCTCATTGTCTCGTTCAGCTTCCTTTGGCCTTAGGGTCACACCCAGCAGTGCTCAGGAGTTACTTCTGTGGCTCTGTGCTCAGGGGTCTGTCCTGAAAGTGCTCAAGAGGGCATATGTGGTGCTGGGGGTTCCAGCCGCGGTTGGCAGCATACACAGCCAGTGCCTTTACCCCCGTAACTGTCTCTCCCACTTTTGTCAAATATTCCTGGGTAGCCAAGGTCAGTAGTTCTTAACGGAAATGGAGGTGAGGTGCTGAAAGATCTTTTGGTGGATCAGGCTAGGATGTTTATTCACTGGGGCAGATTCTCTTGCTTCTTCTTGATCTTGGTGCTCTGTGGTGTCTATCTTAGTGCCTCAGAGATACTGATTTGGCTCGTTAGCTGGTGGTGGGATTTAGTCCATGGCTAGATGACGGCTACAGTGTCACGATCTTCGGGGAACAAAAGCCAGCACAGTGTGTTTCTCTAAACGTGACAGGTAGGGGCCCGCGTAAGCACACTGCATCTATTTGTGCATGCAGCAAACATTTGTTTGCCTCCTGTTGGATGCCCTTCTGCTTTCTCTTTCCTTGGCACTATGATGCTCACAAAAAAAAGAAATGAAACAAATCAACCCTTTGACCGATCCTTAGGTTCATAGAGAAGAGCCAGGTACGGGGCGGAATGTCTTCTTAAGAGGTTGGACAATGGGGAAACTGTGTGATGGTCTGGGGGGGGATTTGGGTTTGGAACAAAAGTTCAGGCAGATAAAGAGAGCGAGAGGGAAGGTGGCTGGGTGAGCTGACACCCACGGGTGATGTTGGCCCTGGGAGGTGAGGGACGTGGGAGTGAGTCATAGGTGTTTTGGAGAGAGTGTTCGAGTGTTTCTGCAGAGGGCAGGGTGGGTGGAGGTTGTGAGTGTGTGTGTGAGTGTGTGTGGTATATGGGTATTTGTATATGTGTGTGTTGGGTGTTTATATACATGTCCGTGGTGTGTGTGTGTGTATGTGATATGTGGGATTTGTATATTTGTGTGTCTGTGCTTGATGTTTGTAAATGTGTCCATGGTCTGTGTTTGTGTGTGTGTGTCCATGTGTGTCTGTGCTGTGAGGATGTTTGTATATGTGTGCATGGTCTGTGTGTAATGTGTGGTATGCAGGTATTTGTTTATGTGTGCATGGTCTGTGTGTGTTCGTAGTCTATGTTGTAATTGTGTGTATTGTATGGTATGTGTGATGTGTGCATATGTGTTTGTGTAGGTGGTGTATATGATGTGTATATATGTCTGTTTGGGTCTTGTGTGTGTGTAGCTCTGTGTGTGGCTGCATTGTGTCTGTGTGTTGCATGTCTAAGATGTGCATTGTTTGTGCGAGATGTACGTTGTGTTTGTGTATCTGTGATTGTGTATGTGACGGGTGTATATATATATATTTGTAGGACTCTGGTGTGTTCGTCATGTGTATGTATATGTGTTTGCATTGTGTGGCATGTGTATGTGTCAAAGGTGTATATTGTGTGTTATTGTGTGTGTCTATATCTGTGTCTGGTGTGTGTATTGGTGTGTGTCTGTGAAGGCAGTGAGGCACTGTACAAGCCAAGGTGGGCCCAGGGAGAAGAAGAATCCCAGGACAGCACAGATGCGGCTGACTCGGGTTTTCACAGACTCGCTTTGCCCGTCTCATAGGCTCCCGGGGGCCTTAAGGCCTGGAGACAGCCTCGTGCTTCCTGCCAGTAGGTGATGCTGATGTGTCTGGGGGCTCCCACTGAGGACATGCTCAGAAATGATCGTGGTCCCCCCACGGAGAGCTCAAGGGCCTGGGTAATCCCATTACTAACTGCTGGATGGTCTTTTCATTTGGTTTTTGTAAAGAAGAAAAATGGGCATCACCACCGAATTAATAAAACAGGGGCACGTGTGCGAGGCTTGTGCCAGACATTTATGTAGAGCAAACATAGCTATAGCGTCTCCGCTTGCAGAGTGGTTGTCTTGAACTTATATATCTGAAAGTACGGCTCAGCCTTGAGATTTTTAGATGCTTTATGCTAAACAGTTTTAGATACTTTTAAAAAAATTTTACTAGCGAAACACCATGAGGTACAGTTGTAGACTTACATCAGTTTTAGATACTTTTTGCTAAACAGTTTTAATCTAAGCAGGCTCTTCAAGACCCCTGTCTACATTATCATAAGCTATGGCTCCACACCATTCAGATGTGTAGGTATCCAAGCTGGATGCGTGGAGAGGTCAGAGAGGAGGGCTTCCGGTGAAAGGACAGGAATTTGTCAGAAATTGGTGAATTAGTTTATTTCCACTAATTCTCTGGAAAGCCTTTGGTCACGTTTGCGTGAGGTTTAGAACAAGTAGTGCTATACTGCCACCTTGTGGATGTGCATGGTTCTCAAGGAAATTCTTAAAAATCGAACTTGGAAATTGAACCCTTAGAGCGTTTTATCAAACCTTCCATGGTGTTACCATCCATACCCCAAACTCGATTCTCTGCTTACGGTTCTTGGTTACTCTTCCTTTTTGTTTGTTTGTCGGAGGAGGGCCAAACCTGGTTACGCTCAAGGCTATTCCTGGCTCTGCACTCAGGGATCACTACTGGTAGTGCTCATGGGACCAAATGGGGTGCCAGGGCTCGAACCCGGGTCAGCTGCCTAGGTTTGGGATTCTCCTACCAGCCAGCTGCTCTGCGAAGGTCACGAGAGAGAAGTGTTCCTTCTTTCTTGCCTGCCGGGTGAGCTCAGGGTGGACAGCCGTGCATTTAGAAGAGGCAGGTTTGGAGAAACACCAAGATTTCTCATGGTTACCCAAGGGTGACTTTCTGACTTGGCCTGGAGCTCAGAAACAACGCTCACTCAGAAATTGAGCACCTATTTGTAGTTTCCAGGTGAATACCTGAACACAGTTGTTACTTTGGGAAGTTTTTTTTTGGGGGGGGGGTTCGAGGGAGGTGGCGAAGGGGTCGTATCTAGTGATGTCAGGGATTCCCTCCTGGCTGTGCACTCAGGAATTACCCCTGGCGGTGCTGGGAGGGACCGCTTAGGATGCCAGTGATCTATGGTCGACCGTGTGCAAGGCAAGTGCCTTACCTGCTGTACTGTCACTGTCAGTGTCCTCCCATTGTTCATTGATTTGCTCAAGCGGGCCCAGTAACATTGTGAGACTTGTTACTGTGTTTGGCATATTGAATACGTCTTGGGTAGCTTGCCAGGCTTTGCCGTGCAGGCAAGATACTCTTTGTAGCTTGCCGGGCTCTTCAAGAAGGGCGGAGGAATTAAAAGAGGAGGAATCAAACTCGGGTTGGCCCGATTGGCTGAGTGCAAGGCAAACACCCTACCCGCTGTGCTATTGCTCCAGCCCTATTGCTCTCCAAGCTCCTCCAGCTCTGTGCTTAAGGATTGCCTTTGGCAGTGCTCAAGAGACCATGTGGAAGCAGGAATTGAACCCTGAGTACACGGGGTGGGCTCAGCCCTTAGAAGTTGGGAAGTTTCATCATCACGGTGGTATCCTCCCCTTTCCGTGCCTTTGAAACTCCAATGAGAGGTCACCCCGGGCTCTGCCCATAGTAATTGTACTTGAAAAGTTCCTTTTCTCTGACTTTTTTTTTTTTTTTTGGATCACACCTGGCGATGCACAGGGGTTACTCCTGGCTCTGCACTCAGGAATTACTCCTGGCGATGCTCAGGGGACCATATGGGATGCTGGGAATCGAACCCAGGTTAGCTGTGTGCAAGGCAAATGCCCTGCCCACTGTGCTATCACTCCAGTCCCCTCTGACCTCTTTTTATTCTCCTCGTTTGTAAAATGGGCATCGTGATTCCCCAGCAGAGCGCCTGTGAGTTGACGGGGTCCTGGGAAAGCCTCTGTGAGTCAGTGCCTGCGTGATAATGACCATTCCCGATAACTCACTGAAATCACATCTTGATCAGGAGTTACCCAGATGTCTCTCCCTGTCCTGAGGCTGCCTGGAGCTTCTTGGGACATGTGTGTATTTGACTTTTTCTTGCAAATTTGGGGACAGTCCAATGACTCGACTGGACTTCCTCTTTTTGGTGGCTTCCCTGTTTCTTTGGCCTCAGCTAAGTGTACTGCCTGGAACCTCTCTGGGTGAAACTGGCAGGTGAGTGAAAGAGAAGGAATCCAATTGTTCTCTCCCCTTTTTATTCACAATCTCCTCTTGATGTTCATCATTCGTGTTGGTTTGCCTGCTTCTGGGTTTTGATATGACCGGGTGGGACCCACATGCCAAGCAATGCCAGGGAAGGATTTGGACACCAGCAACCGAACTCACTTCGAGACAGATCTGTTTCTCCTTTTTCCCTCAGGTGGGGGCGTGTGTTCAGTCAGAGGGAGGGGAGGTGACGGCCTTCAGCTTCCCAGCGGTGCAGAAATAAATGTGCAAAACGATGACGATTCCTAACAAGTCATTTTTAACGAGGTCCTAATTAGACTCCTCTCTCTGTTAATTTCAGCTGTACAAAGAAATTGAAATTTGTCCAAAAGTCACTCAGAACATCCAGATTGAGAAGTCAGACGCTGCCGGTGATAATTATGGTATGTTTTCCTTTGATCTTTGAATCCTTTCTTCCCCCAACGTGAAAGCCGTTCCTGTGTACACACACATGTGCTTGCCGTGCAGCGTGCTGCCTCGGGGGTCGGGTGAAAGCAAACGGTACATCTGGCCTCGATGCGGTGCTTAGTAGCCAGACTGACGGGTGGAGGGGGGATGTTGACCCGAGGTAAGACCACATTCGGGGGGCTGGAGCGATAGATAGCACAGCAGGTAGGGCATTTGCCTTGCACGTGGCCAACCCGGGTTCAATCCTTGGCATCCTATATGGTCCCCTGAGCACTGCCAGGAGAGATTCCTGAGCGCAGAGCCAGGAGTAACCCCTGAGCATCACCGAGTGTGACCCAAAAAGCAAAACGCAAAATAAAATAAAATAAAATAAAAAAAGACCACACACTCAGGCTTTAAGTTACTTTAATCGCTGACAGATGTTTGACTCCCATAAACAAGGAAAGGGATGGATCGGGAGTTGATTTGTATTTTTTTTTTTAATTTTTGTTCTTTGGGGAGGGTTGGAGCAATAGCATAGTGGGTAGGGTGTCTGCCTTGTGCACGACTGACCCGGGTTTGATTCCTCTGCCCCTCTCCAAGAGCACGGCACGCTACCGAGAGTGTCCTGCCCGCACGGCAGAACCTGGCAAGCTACCCGTGACGTATTCGATATGCCAAACACAGTAACAAGTCTCACAACGGAGACATTACTGGTGCCCGCTCGAACAAATAGATGAACAATGGGACGACAGTGACAGTGACAGTTCTTTGGGGTGGGGAACACCCAGAAGAGCTGAGGGGCTGCTTCCCCTCAGAGGGGATTGCACTTGGCAGTGTCCAGGGGACCATGTGGAAGCAGGAATTGAACCCTGAGTGCATGGGGTGGCCCCAGCCTTAGAGGGTTTTTTGGTTGTTGGGGGGTGTGCTGTTGGCAGTGCTCAGGGGTTTCCTCCTGGCTTTTTGCTCAGGAATCATTCCTGGAGGTTCTCAGGGGGTCCTAGGTGGTGTCAGGAAGCAGAGGTGGGTCAGCCACAGGATAGGCTAATGCCTGTATGTCTCCCCAGCCCTCAGAGCTATCTTCCTAGCGCCTTCTGTCAGGATGTGTCCTCAGGACAGGTGTATTATTCTCCCTTATCCCACCCAAAAAATGGGATATAAGAACTTGTTTTGCAGGAACCAGGGCGATAGTACAGTGGGTAGGGTGTTTGCCTTGTATGTGGCTGGCCCGGGTTCGATCCTCAGCCTCCCATGTGGTCCCCCGAGCACCACCAAGAGTAATGCCTGAGTGCAGAGCCAAGAGGAACCCCTGAGCATCGCTGGGGTGTGACCCAAAATGGAAAAAAACAAAAGAAACAGAAATGGAGTGATCCCTGAGTGCAGAGCCAGGAGGAAGCCCTGAACATCGCCAGGTGTGACACCCTTCCCTCCCCCCCCCCCTAAATAAAGGAGTGATTCCTGAGTGCAGAGTCAGGAGGGACCTCTGAGCATCACTGGGTGTGACCCAAAAATAAAAAAAAAACACTTATTTTGCTACTGTGTTGGGGGTTCTGAAGACTGAAGACCCTGAATTTGCTGGTACCTAAGAGGAGTCACAGGGCTCATATCTGACCCCCAGCATTGTATTCATAGCACAGGACAGTGTCTGGCCAAAACATACTCACAACAGGGATCAGAGAGCCAGGACAGCAGGGAGGGCACTTGACTGCACACGGCTGACCTGGGTCCAATCCCCAGCACCCCACAGGATTCCCTGCGTCCTGCCAAAAGTCCGCCCTGAGTATAGAGCCTCGGGGTAAGCTCTAACAATCTCCAAGTGTGGCCCCCAAACCAAACCAAAACAAAAACCTTACAAGCAACCCACCAGGCATCAGACAACCAGGACCTGTGAAATACTGTCACGCAGTAGCACCTGGAGACCCAGTGCCTGCCCATCGCCCAGCTGCTAAGAGTTAAGCTCCTATGAGCCCACCGACACCCTCCATTCCCTGAGACCAGCTCGGGGCTCAACTTCCAGGGAGTTCCCTCAGAGAGCTAGAGCACCTGCACCCTTTCCTAATGCTTAAGGGAGGTGGTGGTGGTTGGACCACACCAGGAAGTCCTCAGGGCTTCCTCCTGGCTCTGTGCTCAGGGATCAGTCACTCCTGGAGGTGCTCTGGAGGATTGGATATGGTGCCAGGGATCGAACTGGGGTCAGCCGCATTCAAGGCTGGCCACTTGCCCTGTGTACTCTCTCTCTCTCCCTGGGCCCTCTTTGAATGCTTTTTTGTTTGTTTGGGGGCCACATCCAGTTGTGCTTTGGGGTTACTCCTGGCTCTATGCTCAGGAGTTACTCCTCGTGGGCTCGGGCAACCCATTTGGGTTACTAGGGATCAAACCCAGGTTGGTGATATGCAAGCCTGGTCCCTGCCTGCCTTGCTCTTGCTCCAGCCCCATCTCTGAATACTTTTCAGTGAAGGCACTGCTGGGCTTTCAGATCCAGGAAGTTGCATTTCCACTTCAAAGGTCTTAGGCAGGCTACAGGCGTCAACCATGTATCTCCAGCCTCGCCCCTCAAACTACCTGATGGCAGGGCTGGAGTGATAGTACAGCAAGTAGGCATTTGCCTTGCATGCAGCCAACCTGGGTTCGATTCCCAGCATTGTATATGGTCCAGCCAGGAGTAATTCCTGAGTGCAGAGCCAGGAGCAACCCCTATGCATTGCCAGGTGAGACCCAAAAAGCAAAACAAAAAACAAAAACTATCTGATGTCAAGTAGCAGGGGTTTGATTCAGGGATTTATTTCCCCCCCATTTGTTTTGTTTTAATTTCTGGTCTGGAGAGTAGACCACTGTCACTGTCCTCCCGTTGTTCATTGATTTGCTCGAGCGGGCCCAGTAACGTCTCCATTGTGAGACTTGTTGTTACTGTGTTTGGCACATCGAATACGTCATGGGTAGCTTGCCAGGCTTTGCCCTGTGGGCAAGACACTCTCAGTAGCTTGCCAGGATCTCTGAGAGGGGTGGAGGAATCGAACTCGGGTCGGCCATGTTGGCTGCGTGCAAGGCAACTGCCCTACCTGCTGTGCTATCACTCCAGCCCAAGAGAGTAGACCATCATTGTTTTTTTTTATGAGCCACAGACACCCCCACCCCTAGTCCCCACCCCTGGCTGAAGGTTGAGACCTTTCTGGATCTTGGAAGCTCAGCACTTGGTGGCGATTACTGATTGCTGATTGCTGTCCAGTCAATAACAAACCATCTGTCTCATGCCTCGGGTCAGCATCTCCCTGAAAAGAACTAAAAAGAACTCACTTTCTCACAGCCCAGTTCCTCTTGGCCTCAGGTGCTCTGGCAGCTTACTGTTGGAGAAAGTTCAAGTCCCCAATTTTAATCTTTTGTCTGGGGGTGGTTTGGGCCATGCCCAGCAGTACTCAGGGCTTACTTCTGGTTCAGTGCTCAGGGATCACTGCCTGTGGTACTCGTGTTGGACCGGCAAGCGCCTTGATTCCTGGGCTTCCTTTCCAGCCCCCGAATCCCCCATCTGAAGGGTTCTGGTTCCTTCTAATCTCCCAGTTCCCTCAGCTTCTAAATTCAGCCCTTGGGGTGCCCTATTGGCCCGTCTCGGGGTGCAGCTTCCACTCTGTCTTGAGTCTCTTGGATTCTGGATGTGAAAATTCCTGGCATCCACCACCCCACCACCTCACAACCCCCAGCTGCCAGCCGGGTGCTGCCTCCTGTTTGAGAATCCTCTTGTGGGGGCAAATAGGACTACACTACTGGGTAGATAGAAGGAGGCCCGTTGAGTTTGAGTTTGTCTCTCAGTTCCTCTGTCCACTTCGGGTCTTGGACCTTGGGGACAGAAGTTGAGTTAGGCCGACTCAGCGAGAGAGCTAGACTGACAAGAAGTGGATCGTTGCAACCATGAGCACACTTATCCTCCGGGGGCTTCCCATACCCCCACCCAGGTCCAGAAATGCGTCATTCAGCGATTTCCTCGCTGTACTGGCGCCATACAGTGTCACTGACACAGAGCATCGGCCACACTGAGGCTGGAAGGACCAGTATAGGCCAGTCTGGGCCAGTATAGGCCAGCCTAGGCCAGTAGGTCAGTCTGGGCGGTATAGGCCAGTTTGGGCCAGACTAGACCAGTCAAGACCAGTCTGGGCCAGTGTGAGCCAGTCTATGCCAGTCTAGACTAGTCCAGACCATTCTGGGACTGTCAAGGGCAGTCTGCCATTGAGGCTGGATAGACCTTCCAGGCTGGATACACCAGTCGTAGAGGCTAGATACTCATACAGCCTTTGTTGGGGCATGGATTGTCCTTCACAGGGGGCTTAGCTCACCCCCACTTACCCCCACAGCGCCCCACCCCCGCCCCGCCATCATTGTGGTCTCTGTGCATGGTGACATGTCACAAGAACACTCTCAGTGACTTTCCACAGACACTGAGACAGCCATTAAGCCTCAGGTCCCGCGGCCCCACTTATGTCATTTTCTGCTTTTCCCTGTGCCAGAGATGCTGACTTTGAGAACCTTTAGCAGACATCATCTGTTCTCTGTCCTGTGGCCGTGGGCTGGGGGTTGGAGCAGGAGGGTTTTCTGGTGGTGCTCAGGCCTGTGCATTTGCCCTCTTGGTTTAGAATGAATCATTTCCTTCTCTTTCTACACTCGAGCCTGAGTTGGTGCTCTTGGTACCTCCTGGTTTTTGGGTTTCTTTTTTTTTTGGTACATAAAAACTTACTCATGTGGGAGCCAGAGCCCTAGTACAGCAGGGAGGGTGTTTGCTTTGCATACGAATGACCCCTGACCCGGTTCAATTCCCAGAATCCCATATAGTCCCCTGAGCACCGCTGGGAGTGATTCCTGAGTGCAGAGCCAGGAGGAACCCCTGATCATCAGTGGGTGTGACCCAAAACAAACAAAAAAGACCTGGAGGACAGAGACCTACCAAAGGGCACCAACATTAACTAGGCTTGCTATGCCCCCGAGCATGGTGAAGGTGGAGAAGAGGTGTTTTTTTTGTTTTTTGTTTTGGGTCACACCTGGGTTACTCCTGGCTCTACACTCAGAAATTACTCCTGGTAGTGCTCAGGGGACCATATGGGATGCTGGGAATCGAACCTGGGTTGGCCATGTGCAAGGCACACACCCTACCTGCTGTTCTATTGCTTCGGGCCCTCACGAGTAAGCTCTTATATACAAAAGAGAATTTACCAGGCCCTTTCCAGAAGCAGAGGAGGTGGCCAGGACTCACGGATACGCAGGGTCCCCACGCCCGAACTCCTCTGCCTTCTCTGTGACTTTGTCCCTGGAGGGACTTTAGCAGAGCCAGGATTAAGGAGCTGCTGAGCTCAGGCAACCCAGACAAGGAGGAGATAATAATCTTCTGATCAGACGCACTGGGTGGCGTGCTCCATCCCTGTGCAGTGGGGTTGGTAAAGTCAGGGCCACCCGTCCTGATTTACAGCACAGCAGAAAGTGGCATCCTCAGAGCAGGGCTGAGGATGTTGGCGCTCCCGGCCAACTGCTGCTGAGTGGAAGCGACGTGGCTGGAGCCAGAGGTTCTGTCGGGTGGTGTGGCGGCAACGGGACTGGAGAGATGATCTAGACAGATGGCACTTGCCTCGCACACAGCCAACCCGGCTGGAGCTTTGGCACTGCTGAGGGCTCCCTCCCACCTCCAGGACCACTTAGGAGCACCTAAGTACAGAGCCAGGAGTAGCCCCAGAGCCCATCTGGATGTGAGCCCCCCCCCAGTAATGAATAATTCTAAAAATTATAATTCAATAAATAAAGGTAAATGATGGCAATGACTAATATCTACAGCAAAACAGACTCATTTTATTTTCTCTGAATTCATCAGAAAGGCAGTCTGTAACTAGATGTAGTTAGTTATTTTTATTTTATTTTATTTTTACCAGCGGTGGAATCTTTTAGAGGCATTCAAAAATAGGGTGTTTTGTTGTTTTGTTTGTTTGTTTTCGGCGCCAGAGCAATAGTACAGCGGGTTGGGCTTTTGCCTTCCACGAGACCCACCTGGGTTCTATCCCTGGTGTCCCATATGGTCAGAAGGAAATATCATGTCTGCACCGCAGAGACTGGCAAGCTCCCCGCGGTGTATTCAATATGCTAAAAACAGTAACAACAAGTCTCACAATGGAGACGTTATCGGTGCCCTCTCGAGCAAGTCGATGAACAATGGGAGGACAGTGCCACACTGCTACTCTTCCTGAGGCCAGAGCTATGGTACAGGGATAGGATGTTTGCCTTGCGTGCGGCCAACCTGGGTTTGATCCAGGCATCACGCGTGGTCCCCTGAGCATCACCAGGGGTGATCCCTGAGAGCAGAGCCAAGAGTAACCCCTAAGCATTGCAGGGTGTGACCCAAAAAAAGCAAAAAATACCAAGGTATTTTTGGTAAAATAAGTCAGAACAGGGGAAGGAGCCGCTCTGAGCTTGAGCCCTAGAGACTTTGAGCGCTTGGTGTTCGTGGCATATCCTGCCTGGAGCTGGCCACAGCTGGAGCAAGTGACCCTGACCACTCTGTCCTGTGTCCTCAGGGTTCTCGCTGTCTTCTGTGGAGGAGGACGGGGTGCGCAGACTGTACGTGAACAGCGTCAAGGAAACGGGTTTAGCGTCTAAGAAAGGTAAGTCCTGGGTCTCCTGGCTGCAGGCGTCTCTTCCGAGCCCTTCTAGATCCTTCTAGTTGGGGGATGTGGAAGATGAGAAGAGGAGAAGCCTGGAACCTTGTCTTGTTGAAAACCCTCACAGTGGGGAGGGTGTTTGCCCTGTGCACAGCTGACGCGGGTTCGGTCCCCAACATCCCATAGGGTCCCCGAGGCTCCAGCCCTGAGCACTGCTAGGTGTGATTCCTGAGCACAGAGCTAAGGTCTGGGTGTGACCCCAAAATGAACCACAGAAAAATAGAAAAACCTCCCAGCAAATAGAAATGTTCTTCCCTTTATCCAGGCATGGGAGAATGCAGACTTGAGCCCCAGTTGGCGGGGTCCATGGGATGGTCCTTTCTCACCACCTTTCCGACTCTGTTCAGGGACTCTAAACCCTAGGGCGGTCTCTTGGAGTAGAATTTTCCAGAAGACCCTTTGGTGCTTTGGTCAGCTTGGGTCAAAGTTTGACTTGGGATCTTGTCTCAGGCAGTTATGGTCTGTGGCGCCCCCTGGTGGAGGAATCTTTGCAGCCGTGGAACCCCTGGGGCCGGTATCCCACCAGCTCAGGGGGGCAATTCCAGGGGACTCCGTGTCTGAGCACCCCTGCATCCCAGGGCTGTCTAGTTCAGGTGGGTCTCTGGAGGAAGCCCCCTAGACCCCCATTTGGTGCTCTCTCTACTTTTTTTCCCCCAACCTTGAGATACATACACAATTACAAAGTTGTTCATGCTTAGGTTTTCGGCATACAATGTTCCAACAACCCTCCCTTCACCAGTGTACATTTCCCATCACCAATGACCCAGTTCCCCTCCGGCCACCACCACCCTCAGCCTGCCTCTAAAGCAGGCATTTTTCCTCTCTCTCTCTCTCTCTCTCTCTCTCTGTCTCTCTCTGTCTCTCTCTCTGTCTCTCTGTCTCTCTCTGTCTGTCTCTCTGTCTCTGTCTCTGTCTCTCTCTCTTGCCTGCTCGCTCGCTTTCTTTGTCTCTGTCTCCTTTTGGGCATTATGGTTTACAATTATCCAATACCAATCAGATAAAGGGTTAAAATCCAAGATACATAAGGCACTGGTAGAATTTTACAAGAAAACAAACATCCAACCCCAACATATCGTGGGGAGGGGCAGGGGCCGGAACAATAGTACAGCAAGCAGATAGGGCGTTTACTTTGCATGCAGGCGACCCAGGTTTGATCCCCAGCATCCCATACGGTCCCCCAAGCACTGCCAGGAGTAACCTCTGAGCATCACTGGATGTGACCCAAAAAGCAGGAAAAAAAAATTGGGGAGAAGAAATGAACAGAAACTTCCTCAGAGAAGAAATATAAATGACCGAAAAGGCACATGACAAAATGCTCTACATCGCTAATCCTCAGGGAGCTCCAAATCCAAACAACTATGAGTTATCCTCTCACACCACAGAGCCTGGCCCGGATCCAAAGGAACCAGAATAACCGGTGCCGAGGTGCTTTCCCCTCTCAGAGGACCCTTCCAAGCCAGGGGTTCTGGCTTCTTTCTTTCATTTGCTGTATTTGTCCAACAAAACCCAGTTCGGGTGGCCGCAAGTGCCCAGTCCAGGGAGTGTCAGGTCCACTACTGGGAGAGCCCCCAGGAGGAGAGAAGAATTTCTCCTTCGCTCTGCCTGCCCGGGGTGGGCAGAGGGGTGACGGGGGACTCTGTGTCTAAACCTCTGCTCAGCTTAAACCTCAGCTCGCCTCAGCCGCTCCGCGTCCTGCCTCTCTGCATCAGCAACCCGCCTTCCTCTGCGTGTGGGGCTGCCTGTGAGAGCCCGGGTTCCTGGGCAGAGCTGCCCCTGCCCCCCAGCCCCTCTCCCCACTCGCCCCTGCTCCCTAGCCCAGCACGACTTCATTTCATTGTGTCCATCTGCAAAGGCCTGTTCGCAAACACAGTCTGGCCTTGGGATGCTCGTAGGCGATGCAAACATCACCCACCAGGCTGATCAAAAACCCGTGGGGTATGCAAAGGGGCCGGAAAGCCTGCTTCCTCCTGCCCCTGGGCTATGCTGACTTTCTATTTTTTTTAAAATTTTTTATTAGTGAAACACCATGTGGTACAGTTGTAGACTTACAAATTTTTGTGCTTGGGTTTCAATTATACAATGATTGAGTACCCATCCCTCCATCAATGCCCATTCTCCATCACCACTGATCCCAGTATCCCTCCCACTCCCCATCCCCCCATCCCACCCTGCCTCAGTGGCAGGAAATCCCCCTTGTTCTCTCTCTCCTGTGGTTTGCAAAAGAGGCATTGAGTGGCAATCCTGTTCGGTCTGTAGTCTACTTTCAGGATGCATCTCTCATCCTGGGAGGATCCTTTATTTGGTGCTCCCTTCTCTATCTGAGTGTGCTGACTTTCATCCAGGCCCAGGCCAGCTAGAGAGGCCAGCCAGGCGGAAGGCCCTTGCTCGGTTCCTTCGAAACCTCATGCTGCATCCTTCGCCTCCCCCACTATCAGCAGACCCAGCGCAGCGCCTGGGCTTAGCACATAGACAGTACAGGAGAGGGCGTTGGGGGGTGAGGGGCTGGAGGGGTGTGCAGGGCTGGGCTGGCTTCCTTGGCTGTTCAGGCTCTCCGGGCCCCAGGCTCAGGTCCACCGATCCGCTCAGCTCTGCAAAGGCTGACGGTTCTTTCCTCTGCACACCCCAAGGCTGATTTTTATCTCTCTCTGCCCCGGGGGTGGGGGAATCTTCGGGCCGTTCTCACTCACATCCTGTCTTCTTGGAATCCGAGGGCCCCCGTGTGCAAGAAAATAACAGACTTTTGCCCACACCCTTCCCCGGGCCCTGGGGAACAGAGTTCTCCCGGATACTAGAGGGCTGACCTCCGGCCCACCCCCTCCAGACCTGGCCTGTCGAGCGCTGGGGGTTCCCTGAAGGGTATGAGGGGTGCTGTTCGTTCAGCCCAGCTCATGGTCCCTGTGGTGTGCTCTCTGGTCTGGCCAGCTGCTGGGAAGATGTGTCTGAAGGTGACCTGTACTCTAACTCCCCCGTACCGTTTTGCCTCTTTGATAATCTGATCTTTTGCCTCTTTGATAATCTGATCCCTGGGGTTTCCTCACTTCCATGATGGGGGGCTAGGGGGAATACCCCATGGTGGCCAGAGATTACTCCTGATGAACTCGGGGGAACATATGGGGTGCCAGGGGTCGAACTAGGGCCTGCCAAGCACCCCTGCCCTCTTCACGGTGGCTCTGGGCCCCAGGTTCCACCTCTCTCTCACCACACTCAGCAGCTCCGGACCCTCTGATGACTCCCGAGAGGTCCCAGGCCAGCTGGGTCATCGCCCTCTGGACACATCTCTGGGACCATCAGCCAGAGTTGGGCATGGCCCAGAAACTGGGGTGGGGTGGGGGTGACCTCGGCCAGTGTTGGGTCATGAGGGCTCCGCTCAGCCGCTCAACTTTCTGCCTCTCTGCACCCGTGGCCCGCCTTCCTCTGCTTCCTCATCACGGCTCAGTTCTGTGCTGGCACTGCTCTGCCACCCTCTGCCTTCCTGGCCCCGGGCCTCGGGGACTGGGGGGCAGCAGTTGGCCAAGGCTCCATTCCCTGGGTCTTGCAGGGCTGCCCTGGCCTCTCGCAGCCCCTGCCTTCCCTGCTGCTGAGAGATTTTGACCTGGCCCAGCTGGGAAAGACCAAGCGCCTCTCCCTTCCTGAGCTGCAGAAGCCGGATTGATTTACTCCTGCGGACCCAGCCGGGCTCCTGCTCTCCACACCGGGCCCAGCACAAAGGCGAGGATTCAGGTTTACGGCATCTATGATGGGGAGAGGGGAGGCACGTTTGCAGGCAGCAGGTGGAAGAGAAAGAAGCAGAAACCGCTGAGCATGCGTGTTCCTTGCTTAGCAGGGTCAGCGCCATTTCCAGGGCTCTCCCGGCCCATTCTGTGGTCACAAGCCCAGTCCTGTCTCGGGCTGCTCTGCTGTTCGGGATGGAGACAGGGGGCCCAGTTCCCTTTGCCCCCTTATCCTCTGGGCCCTCTGGGTATCGTCACTTCCGTCTGTCTTCCTTCGTGCCTTCCAGCTGGGATGTTGGTCTCTGGGCTTCCGGCCGTCAGGAAGCCTGGTCTTCTTCTCTCAGGCCCCTCAGGGCCAGAGCATGAGTTCTGGGGCGCGCGCACTCTCGCTCTGGGGCCACTGTTCTAGTCGCCACCTCCTCCCGCTCCACCGGGCCATGTCAACTCGGGACTCAGGGCCGGAGAAAGCAAAGGCATTCAGACACGTGCCTTAGTCCCCAGCAACGCCAGGCCTTTGGGTCCTCATGCAGAACTGCCAGCCAAACTGACCGAGAATTGCCAGGGTGGACCCACATACCGCCAAGAACAAAAAGACACACACACACACACACACACACACACACACACATAAACACACGCATGCACACGCGCCCCGTGAGGCGGGCCACAGGTGCAGAGAGGCAGAAAGTTGAGCAGCTGAGCTGATACATGTGTGTATGTATCAAAAACAAAGCACAGCCCCTAGATTTTTTTTTTTAACTCTGGTCAGTTCTCTTGTTTCTTTTTTTTTTTCCTTTTTGGATTATGCCTGGCGATGCACAGGGCTTACTGTACCTGGCTTGTGCACTCAGGAATTACTCCTGGCAGTGCTTGGAGGACCATATGGGATGCTGGGAATCGAACCCGGGTCGGCCACGTGCAAGGCAAACGCCCTACCCACTGTGCTATTGCTCCAGACCCTGTTCTCTTGTTCCTTACGTTGCCTCTCTAGTAGCTAACCAAGTCCAAGAGAAAACTATGAAAAGCAAAAACAAGACCCAAGGCTGGTGAGAGAGTACAGTGGCTAGGGCACTTGCCTGGATTTGTTCCCCAGCACCTCCTGAGCACAGAACCAGGAGCAGTCCCTGAGCACTGCTGGGTGTGGCCCCCAAATAGAACAAAAGCAACCAACTACCTTTTCCATGTAGAAATGGCACACTCTCCTTTCCAAAGCTGTGAGACTCCAAATCTAAGAAAGTGAGTGGGGTTCGCTCCCTGGGCTTCCTCCCTCTAGTTGAGTTGCAGGGATGAGTTCTAGGGTCTCTTCCGTTGCCTTCCCACTCGTGCTGGGTCCGGAAGGGTTTTACAATAGGAAACAGATTTCGGAATTGTTTGGCTCAGGGTGAAGAGGATTGGATGGGGTGTGACTCAGTGAAGGAGCGGTGTGTGTGTGTGTGTGTGTGTGTGTGTGTGTGTATATGTATGTATGTGCATGTGTCTGTGTGTGTGTCTGTCTGTATGGATATGTGTGTGCGTATGTGCTTATGGTGTGTATGTGTGTGTATGTGCGTGTCTGTGTATGTGTGTATGCGTGTCTATGTGTGCCTGTGTGTGTATCTGTGTGTACGTTTGTATGCCTGTGTATATGCGTGTCTGTGTGTGCATGTGTGTGTACCTATGTGTGTATGTATGTGCTTGTGTCTGTATATGTGTATGTATCTATCTGTATGTGTGTATGTATGTGTGTATCTCTGTGTGTATGTGAGTGTATCTGTGTGTTTGTGGATCTGTGTGTTTGTGGATCTGTGTTATGTGTGTCTGTGTTTGTGTGTGCATGTGTATATGTGTATTTATGTGTGTGTCTGTGTGTATAGTGCATGTGTCTGTGTGTATGTGTGTCTATGTATGTGTATCTGTGTATGTACGTGTGTCTGTGTGTGTTTGTGGATCTGTGTATGTGTGTCTGTGTGTGTTTATGTGTGGATGTGTATGGATATGTGTGTCTGTGTTTGTGTGTGGATGTGCATGTGTCTGTATATGTGTGTGTGTGTGTGTGTTTGTATGTCTCTGAGGGAGTGAGACTGTGGAATCAGAGGCGGCTTCTCTTTTCTGCCTGCCGTCCTTCCAACTCCCACTTCCTCCTTCATCTTTGGTTCCCCACACACGGCACCACAGCATCGTGCTCCAAAACCAGACCCAGCCTCCTTCCCCATTCTTAGAGCTGCGGGGAAACTGTATTTCCTGTCAGGTCTTTCCCTCACTGCTCCCTTCTGCAATGTTCTTTTAAGGCTGTTCTTTTAAGGCTGGCCTGTCCTCCCCCAACCATCATCCGACATCCTAAATTGGCTTTGCTCAGGAATTTTCCTCAGGTTACCTAACTTTGGAGATTCCCCTTAGCTTGCTTATCAGCGTTTCAGGGGGGAAGCTTCCCAAAACATAAATATCCAGATCCTGATGGCTGACCAAAAAAAGGACGAAGAAGATCAGAAAAAAGAAAAAAGAAAGTCAGGTTTGGTTCTGTGGTCTGTAAACACAAGCCATGACAACCTTCTTTGATAGCAGCAACCGGAAGTTTCATTACAGTTTGGGTGATTTTGCTTGGGCCACCCAGTGGTGCTCGAGAACAGCGGGGCTAATCCGGGCTCGCACCCAGGGCCTTGCACATGCCCATCTAGTGCACCATCTCCCGGTTCCCAAGTCCTTGCACCTGGTTCCATCGAGCTGATCATAGCCATTAGCTGGCTGGATTGCACATATTTATTTACTGCAGGCATCAGAGGGCATTTTCTTTTTTTGGGGGGGGAGGTCACACCCAGTGATGCTCAGGGGTTACTCCTGACTCCGTGCTCAGGAATTTCTCCTCGCGATGGTGGGGGGACCATATGGGATGCCGGGGACCGAACCCAGGTCGGCTGCGTGCAAGGCAAACGCCCTCCCCACTGTGCTATCGCTCCAGCCTCCGAGTTGTCTGGTGATGGACAGTTGCACAGGGAACGAAGCAGATGCTGGGAACCCTGGGCTCAGGCAGGAGCTCAGGTGTTCTGTCAGGCGAGCTGTGACGTCCCTGTCTAGAACTTTCTGAAAACCACAGAGTCATCTCTTTTCGTGCTGGCCGCTGCACCTGCTGGGGACCCGCCACCCCGGGTGCCCTTTAGCCTCGGCGTGGGTGTCTTGGTGCTCTTGGAAACCTTCCCCCTGTCACCCCTCGCAGGCCTGAAGGCGGGCGATGAGATTCTCGAGATCAATAACCGGCCCGCCGGCAGCCTCAACTCGTCGGCGCTCAAAGACTGCCTCTCACAGCCAGCGCTGGGCCTCCTGGTGAGGACCTACCCCCCGCCCGAGGGGGCAGCGGCTCTTCTGGACAGCCCGCCCCACCGCGTGGACAGCACCACAGACCCGGGCGACAGTCCCCTGGCCCTGCTGGCCAGCAACCCAGGTAGGACCCTGCCCGGTGCCCGGGGGAGCCCAGGGGTCTCCTACAAGACCCCCCCCCTTTCTCCCCAACCCACAAACCTGTGCATTGCTTGTCTATTTCCTGTCTCTTGTCTGTTTCTTGCATCTGGTCTATTTCCTGCATCTCAGTGGATCTCTAGCCCTTCCTGGGTCTGGCTGGCAATGGCAGCAAAGATCTAGAGTCTGCAAGTTTCTGTAAAAAAAATTGCAAAGGGGTCCAACCGGGACCTTTGTGCTTGGGCATCGCGGTTTTCTGCTCTTAAATCTACCTGAGCCTCCTGGAAAGTTCCAGGCTGCCCGCCACTTGCCAGCTTGGAGGCAGACCACAGGCAAGAGGTGGCTGTCTCCAGGTGCTGAGCAAGGCGGGGAGAAGTCTTAGGTTTCTTCCGGGGGGTGGGGAGCGTTGCTCACCTGTGTGTCCCCCCCCTCCGGTCCTCATCACCCCCAGAACCCAGCCTGACTTCCTGCCCACAGGACAGGCGTGGAGAAGGCAGCTGGCGCTCACTTCTACCCCAGTCTCCTTTTCTGCTTTTCTTTTTCTTTTTAAAAATTTTTTTTTTAATTTTATAAGGTGGTTCACAATATTTGATGACATTTAATGTTCAAACACCAGTCCCACCACCAAATTTGGGATGTTTCCATCCCAAGCCTCAATCCCTGTCCCAAAGCACAACCAGAAGAATATATTTTGTATTGTCTGTTGTGGAAAGCCGCTGGAAATGCTACAAAAAGTATCCATACAGGAGACAGTGTGAAGTTTGTCCAATTTTGGCAGAAACCATTAAGACATTCTTTAGAATATAACTAACATATTGTTAAAGGTTGAGTGATGTGTATGAGCTTTCATATATAGCACAGCGGTAGGGCATTTGCTTTGCATGCACCCAGCCCAGCCAAGCCGGGTTCGATTCCTCCGCCCCTCTCGCAGAGCCCAGCAAGCTACCCAGAGTATCTTGCCCCCAAGGCAAAGCCTGGCAAGCTACCCGTGATGTATTCGATATGCCAAACACAGTAAGAACAAGTCTCAAAATGAAGACGTTACTGGGCCTGCTTGAGCAAATCGATGAACAACGGGAGGGCAGTGCAGTGCATATATATATGTATATATATCTGAAACTATGTGTATATGCATATATATGTACATTTATATATGTATTTCCCTCTGTGATTTGTTGCCTACTATTTGAACCCAATCAAATGTGATGTGGTACTCTTGGAGAATGAGTAGGGAGTGTCTTATGATGTGTCCAGGAATAGGTTCCCTCATGGGTGAAGTTCAGGCCGAGCGTGTGGGGAGCAGCCTTGAGTGTGGCAGCGGTTGGGTTCTGGAGGTTTTTGGCTGCCGGGGTCGGGTCCCTTGGGGCCGGGAGGCTCTGGGGCGCCCCGAGTGAAACAGCCTGGCATGGAGTCCAGTGGCACGACTATCCTTCCTCCTTTTCTGCTTTTCTCTCGGGAGTCTTCAACCTGCGTCCTAAGTAACGCCTTGCTCATTCTCACCTCCCAGACTCTGCACTTTCTCCCTCCTGCATTCTGCTGCTCTTGTGCAAGAAGTCATCTGTTTTGTGACTTGATTATTTTTGTTGTTTGAGAGGAGGCACACCTGGCGGTGCTCCCAGGGCCCCCTCCCAGGTGCAGTGCTCAGAGGACCCTGGATGGTTCCCCGGATGAGACCCCAGGCTGTCTCACGAGAGGCATGAACTCCAGCCCTTGGGAGAATTGGTGGGCCCCGCTCCAAACTCAAACTCAGAATCAGCCAGTAAGCCACAGGAAGCTGCTTGCCGGCCTCCCTCCCCCTGGGCTGACCTGAGAGTCCCCCTTGGCGCCCCCCATGGGAGCACAAGGGTCCCGCCAAGACATTGTGGCTGACCCCGTTGAAAGCAGCTTCCATGCTGGTCCTCCCTCTCCTGAGACTGATCCTCTGGGGCCGGCTCCTGTTCTCTACCTGTGGCCAGCTGGCCGGCCAGGGGGTGGGGGCTTTCAGATTTACTCTCACCTATGTCTCTTTGACTTGCTCCCAGAGTTGGGGTCGATTTAATGAGTGGGGGTTAGAGATTTGTTTCTGAAACTTGGCAAAAGGGGCCAGAGTGATAGATAGCACAGCGGGGAGGGTGTTTGCTCTGCACTCGGCCAAACCGGGTTCGATCCCCGACATCCCATATGGTCTCCCAGGCATGGCCAGGAGTAATTCCTGGGTGCAGAGCATTGCTGGGTACGACCTCCCTTCAAAAAAAAAAAAGAAAAGAAAAAAGAAAACTTTTATGGTTCCTCATCCCATACGATCCCTCGAACCCTGCTAGAAGTGATCTCTGAGCGCAGAGCCAGGAGTAAGCTCTGAGCGCTACTGAGTGTGGCCCAGAAATGAGGAAAAATAAGAAATAACAACAACAAAAGTCTTCTGTTGCAAAATCAGTGTGCAGACCTTCTGAGTATTCTTGCTGTGCTGTTAATTGTTTTTTATTTTTATTTGCGGGTTACTTTCAGTTCACTGCTCTCGGTGGGGACTTCCTGGCAGTGCGTGGGGGATCATGGCACACCAGGGATGGAACCCGGCCTGTGTTCCAGCCACCGAGCTCTCTCCCTCTCCCCTTCCCTCCCCCCACTCCTCTTTCCTCGCTGCCCTCAGCCCTCAGCCCACCCCACTGTTGGATTTAATACCCTTCAGAAACTTGGTTTCACAAGTTGCCATCTTTGTTTTTTTCTTCTCTTTTCTTTTCCTTTCTTTTTTTTTTTTTTGACCACTGGCTCTCTCATGAGTAATCATGCAAATTGAGGTGTCAAAAATCAATTTCACTTAATTTCTGTTGACTTTCTCGCTTCCTTATGTCATTGTGGTTCTCAGCCGCCAAGCAAATGATAGAACAGATTCATGGTGCAGTTGAGAATGGAGACCCTGAAGTCTGTTGCTTCCTCCTGTGACCACAAGGTGGCAGGCTCGGTCCCAGAAAATAAGGTTTATAGCCCGTTTCTGTCCTGGGACTTAGGTGGGCCACTGTGTGTGTGTGTGTGTGTGTGTGTGTGTGTGTGTGTGTGTGTGTGTGTCTATGTGTGGTGTTTCCTTTTCTTTCCTGGGGTGCATTGGATTGAAACCAGGACCTCACATATGCTCTACCCCTGAGCCTCATCCCAAGTGTTGTTAGATGACACCGAGGCTTTTTTTCAACCCTTTTCACTCACCGGGGAAACGCAGCAGGGCAAACACTGCCAGAAACAGCCTGGATTCTTCACGCGGTTGATTTTGGATTCATTTCTCAGTTGTGGAGAATTTAGGAACCGTTCACTGTTACCAACTTTCCCGTGACTCCCTCTCTCCGTTCAGTGATGTCACCCCATGTGGGATTGCCACCCACAGGTATTTTTGTTTTGTTTTCGACAGGTACCGTTTCTTTAAAATCATCCTTGTGTTTCATGGTTTTATGGGCACTTGGGTTGTCCCAGTTCTTGTCAAAAACTTCTTGAGGATCTGACATTACACATTCTTCTTGCAATTGCTTGTGTGTTTCCAGTTTATTTTCTATTCTAGACAGTTTTGGTTTTTGTTTTCGTTTTTTTTTTTTCTTTTTAGAGTTCTCTGTTCAGAATTTACTTTTAACTGGTCCTGTGGATTAACATCTTTCCAACTTCAAGTATGAGTTTTCTTGGTTTTCTAAGATTTGGTGACCCACAATTTTTTTTATTTTGCTTTTGGGGTCACACCTGGTGTTGCACAGGAGTTACTCCTGGCTCATGCATTCAGGAATTACTCCTGGAGGTGCTCCGGGGACCATATGGGGTGCTGGGAATTGAACCTGGGTCGGCCGCATGCAAGGCAAAACACCCTACCTGCTGTGCTATTGCTCCAGCCCCGACCCATAATTTTAAAAATCTAGGCATAGGATTAATGAAAGGGTTCATCAGGTCTGGTTATAAAGAACACTATATATTGAACTTTTTTTTTTTTTTTTTTTGGTTTTGGTTTTTGGTTTCTGGGCCACCCCTGGTGGATGCTCAGGGATACAGCTGTTTTCAGGAGGACCCTGTGCACTGCTATCCAGCTCTGAACCAGGGTCGGTCCCGTGCAGGTTCAGCCTCGTACCCCAACCTAGCTGTCTGGTGTCTGGACTTGGCTTGGATGGTTTCTCCCACTTGCCCTCCTGTGGGTTAATCAGAAAGCAGCAGCTGAGGTGTTTGGCAGGCCAGCACCTGCGGCCCAGCTCAGCCCAGTGCCCGTCTCTGTAAATGATGCATCTTTGGAACAGGTTCACACCCGTGGACACCCAGGGCCGGGCAATGCTGAGGTCTTGTGACAAGGTGTGTGGTTGGCAAAGCCAAAAATAGGGATCCTCCGGCCCTGGAGAGCTGACGTTTGCTGATCCCCGAGGTGAAGGGCAGCTGAAGTTCTGACAGTTTATTCTCAGAAAGACGGTCAGCACCAGGGAGGGGGGCGCTGGGCACTGAGATCTGTTTGTGTGTCCACAGTCTCTGGAATGTGACTGCCGTTCCGCAGATAGCGCGCCCGCTAATCATCCTACATGACCTGACATACATTGCAGATCTCTGTAATCTATTTCTTTCAAATACTTTCATGTGTTCGCATGCGTCTTTCAAGTTTAAAAAGAGTGTGTGTGTGTGGGGGGGGGAGGTTTATTTATTTATTTCTTTGGTTCTGGGACCACATTTAGCAGGGCTTACTCCTGACTCAGTGCTTAGGGATCACTCCTGGCAGGCCTCAGGGGACCCTACGTGGTGTTGGGGATTTAACCAGGATTGGGAAGACAATGTTAAACAAGCGCCTTAACCCCTGGATATCTCTCTGGCCCCCAAAGAGAAAACTTTCTGTTATTTTTCTGGTTTGTTTTGGGGGCCTTTGGCCGAGATGCACATGGATGGAGCCAAGGGAAAGTCAATTCCTCCGCCCCTCTCAGAGAGCCGGCAAGCTAATACCGAGAGTATCTCACCCGCACGGCAAAGCCTGGCAAGCTCCCTGTGATGTATTTGATATGCCAA